CAATGAGTGAACGATACATTATTTATACTACTAGTAACTGTAGTATTTTAGGCAAACCACGTTTAAAAGTTGGAAGGGCTTTGGGAATTATGAAGCCAAGTCCTTTATCAAATCTTTTGACTTTGCTATGCGCTGAATTTTTTCTAGCTAGTTGGTGGTTATGTTGGATGGTTTCTTTTTGCCCCTGTAGATTTATGTTCCCCACCCCCCATTCTCCTTCACCTCCCTCTTGGCCCTAGGAAGTTGATGACTTGTATGGAATATATCAAAGGTTCCTTTGCCTTCTGGTTTCCCATTGAATTTGTCCACAAAGGAGTGCCACTGGGAGGAAGATGGAGATAGAGTAACCCACTAAGCTAGCTGTGTCCCTTGATTAGAGATCATAGCTTCTGTCAGATGACCATCTCCCTACAACTCCAGGTTCTAGTAATAGTCCTTTTCCTGGAGCCTTCAGGCCTAGGACTGGTACAAAAACTTCCTGTTTCTAGTCTCAAGTCTTGTCTTCTCCCTTGTGGTTTTCCTGTACTCTGCCCAGGCTTTTTATGAATAACCTCTTTTAAAAACTCTTCTCAAATTGCTCTCTTTGAGGGGTGCCATCTATTTTCTGCCAGGAGCCACCCTGCCCAGTAGAGTCCTAGGAGCCAGGTCTCCTGAACTGCCAAGCCTAGGCTCTTTTCATTGAGACTAGTCCCCTTCAGTCTTGAGTCCCCAAGTGACTGATAGAGATAGAAGCCTCCTGTGCTAGTCCACAGTGGACATGTGATATAAATGCAGAACAAAACATCTTTTTATGTTTAACCACTGAGATTTGAGGAATTTTGATATTAGATCTTAGAGCAGCCCATCATTCAGGGCCTGTTTTTTTCATTTAAATCAGGGAAAATTGTAATACTATCCTACTTATAGAGTTTTATAGACTAAATGAGATTATAAAATGGTTAGCATGGTGGCTGCTTCATGGTAAATTCTTAGTAGTAGTTGTTATTATCATTGTTAATGTTTCTTCAACAATTGGGTTATAAACAATTACTGTGTCATATAATCTTAAACTACTAGAGTAAAGGTTCCATATCAGGAGCCACAAATATTGTTCTTGCAGTAAATAATTCAGAAAACAACTTTCAAAAAGGACTCATCTCTATAGATTTTTTTTTCCTGTTGTGTAGTCTGCTAAATTGCATTTCAGGGTAAAGTAAAAAGATTGACTTTGTGTCTTGTGTTAACACTTATGTTATGAAAGTGATGTGACATTTAATTAAGAACTATAGTTGGGCTGGGAATGTGGCTCAAGCAGTAGCGCGCTCGCCTGGCATGCGCGGGGCGCTGGATTCGATCCTCAGCACCACATACAAATAAAATAAAGAAGTTGTGTCCACCAAAAACTAAAAAATAAATATTTTAAAAATTCTCTCTCTCTTTTAAAAAAAAAGAACTATAGTTGTTGGGCAGATGCTTTATTGATGTCTAGTTATGTCATGATATAGGACATTTTTAAAATCTAAATTATTTTTGTGCTTATAAATGAATTAAACTTTTTGTAAATGAAGACATATTGGGGATAGTGTCATTTTGAAATTTCCCTTAATTCCTAACAAAAATACAGAAAGTAGAACAGTAAAACAAAGACAGAGATGAAACTAGCTGCCAAAGTATCCCACCAGGAACAGCAAGACTTGGGCACAGGAATAGCAGCTGCGCAGCAGGGGAAAGGAGTTGTTGATCCTTTTGAATGTCAGGGAACACAGAAATTTACCACCAATATTTACATTATAAAGGAGAAATCCCCACTGGGATTAAAGAACTATGTGGGCTGAATGAAATCAGTTAAAACTTGGAGGGGCTTTACAGACTCAAATTTATGGAAGAGTGCAAGGAGACTGGAAGAGGTTAGAGGCCATGTGAGTGATCTTGGGTTCTCAGAAATGCCAAGCAAAGATCTCTCTGGAAGTAGAGTCACCTCCTAAACAGGAACTGCTAGGACTATGAACCCCGATTGACAGGGTGTTAAAGGAGAAAGGCAGCATAGATACTAATGGAGGAGGGGACCAGAAGCAGTGGATTTCAGAAAGTATTGGGGAGGTGTCCATTTTTTAATAGTTCCATGTAAAACCAGAAGAGGGAGGCCTAGAGCCATGATACTAGGGAAGTCCTAGGGGCCTACTTTCTGTTCTTTATCCACTTCACTTAAATATGAACAATAGAAATGGATTGAGGTTGGACTTCATGCAAACATTGTATGAAGAAAAACAAGGATAGCCCCCATAAATAAGAAAGCAACAGATAAGGAAGTCATGGCAGAAAAATTGGACCCCTTCAAAGGATGAAACTTGATTCATATTCCTAAAGAAGCTAATGCAAATTGAGAAAATGAAATTATTGAAGATCTGCATGCATCAGGATTGGAAAATTTGGAAACTAGAGAACTAAATAATATGCCTTTATGAGAAGACAGTTGACAGAAGGGAATAGAGGGGGAAAATAACAGAATGAATGAGACCCAGGGGAAAAAAAGTCCATTTTCTTTAAAATTGGCAAAAATAAATGATAGTGTCAGGAAATGTCCCTTTGGGTGATTAAACTATAAGGAAAGGCATGCAGATGGCTACTATAAAATTCAAATATCAGTTCCTTTTATGTCAAAGAAAGGGTTTGATATTGGAATGGGACACATGGGGAGTATGCAAATTTCATTTCTTGAACTGATGGTGGGAATAAGACCAACAGGCTTATAATAACTCACTAAGCATCTGGTTTGGTTTTCTAATTGTATCAGTTACTAATGCTTTTTACTAAAATTATAACAGAAAAACCTGGCTAATACCAGCTTTAAAAATAGACATTCATCTTAGGTACTGGTCACAGGTTAGTGTCATGGGTCCTCTTACAATAAGGCATCGGGGTATTCGGTTTGCTGCACTGCCTCTGGGTTTCACTCACATCAGTTGCTCCATGGAGGAAAACTGGGTGCATGCATCTGGCTTTATTCCATATAGGAAGAAGTTAGACTCTCTTCAAGGAGAGCTGGGAATGTGAGTTCTGAGCTTCTACAGACTTTAAGGTAGATTCCAATGAAGAAGCAGGTGGTCAGGTCTGAGTGTTGAGAGAACATGCTGCATGTATACATTAGAGCCCTGGTTCTTACCCATCAATCATATTGCCCCCTGGGGAATATTTGGCAAGAGCTAGAAACATTTTGGATGTTATAATTGAGAAGAGCTGGGACTAGGGTTGTGGCTCAGAGGAAGAGTGCTTGCCTAGCATGCATGAGGCCCTGGGTTTGATCCTCAGCACCACATAAAAATAAAATAAAGGTATTGTGTCCACCTACAACTAAAAATTAAATAAATAACAACTGAGAAGAGCAGTGCTGCTTACTGGCATCTGGTAAGTAGGGGCCAAGGATGCTGCTAAACATCCTGTGATGTACAAGCCAACCTCCCTCAACAAAGAAATTATGTTTCTTTGTCAATAGAGCTGAGGTTAAAGAACCCTGTTCTGGAGATGTGATTATCAAAGTATAGTCTGGGAGCCCTTGGGAATTCCTCAAAACCTTTTCAGTGGTCCATCAGATCAAAATTGATTTAATAACATAAATATATTATTTTTCTTTTTTACGCTCCTCTCTCACAAGTGTACAGTGGAATTTTCAAGAGGTTGCATAACATGATATTGACTGTCTGTTGCTTAGGTACAGAAACAGGTGTGAGAAGCTTCTCCTTCCCACTAGTCCTCAAGAGGTTTGCAAGAATGTGAAAGCATGGCTCCCTTTTCACTTTTTTGATTTATAAAATGTAATTATTTTTATTAAAACATGTCATGTGGGGCTGGGGTTATGGCTCAGAGGTAGAGTGCTTGCCTAGCATGTCCAAGACCCTGGTTCAATCCTCAGCACCACATAAAAATAAATAAAATAAAGGTATTGTGTCCATCTACAACTAAAAAATAAATATTTTTTAAAATGTCATGTTAGCACAATAGATTATTATTATTAACATCAAATGAATAAATGTTCAGTTTTTCATGTTTATTCAATATAATAAATATTGGTAGCTATAGCCCATAAAACTAAGGCTCTTTGTGGGCCACACGAATTTTAAGGTTGTAAAGGAATTCTGAGGTAAGAAGTTTAAGAACCACTGATCTGGAGACCAGCTGAGTTTTAAATGACTAAAAAATGTGAAAAGTATAAGAAGCATAATAATGGCTGGTCACGGTAGCACAAGCCTTTAATCCAACCTAAACATGTGGCTGAGGCAAGAGGATCACAAGTTCAAGACCAGCCTCAGCAAGTTAGTGAGACACTGTCTCAAAAAATAAGAAGGGCTGAGAATGTAGGTCAGTGGTAGAACATCCCTGGATTCAATCTCTAGTACCACATAAAAGTAAAATTTAATTTAAAAATAAAAAGAAGTTGGGCTAGGGCTGTAGCTCTGTAGTAAAGCACTTGCCTTGCATGTGTGAGGCACTTGGTTTACACCACATAAAAATAAATATAATGTGTGTTCAAAAAAATAATAATAAAAAAATAAAAGAAGTATAATTATGTATAGTGAAGACTCATTAATAATGAAGACTTTCATTATTTCACAAACATTTATTATAGTCTTCTGTGTACCCTGACATTATCTGGGTTCTGGGAGCACAGTGCTCAGCCAAACAGGGTTTCTACCTTCAGGGAGATTCTGACTCACCAGAAAAGCCAAAGTATTTTAGGGGTGATCATCATTTTTTTTAAAGTTCTACACTAGGCAATTTCAGAGTGTGATGGAATTACAGTGGAAAGCATGCTGTTCTGGGACAGAGTCCTTAGACACAAAGATCACATCAAACTTCATTTAGATTAGGAAGATCGCCAGTTTACTTTCTGTTATAGACCAACACTCCATCTTTGACTCCCTTGCTGATTCCGCCTACGATAGGAATTGCCTGTATAAAACTGTAATCAGTGCTGTAAGGGCAGAAACCAAAACTAATTTCTGTGCTTTGGGGCCACTTTTCAGTGACTGTGCTGGCGATATTTAATGAATTGCATGCAGATGTGGATCTTTATGCACTTCTGTTTGGAGAGAGCGTCCTAAATGATGCTGTTGCCATTGTACTGTCCTCGTAAGTAACAATGTTTCTACTAGGAAAGAGAGACTTTGGTTTCCTGCATGTTTTGGGGCGAATTCAGAAGACTATATCAAAAGTGTTAAATATTGAATTGGGTGTTTTTCTAAATGAGATTTACCAGCTTTGTTTTTAAAGTTTTATTGTTTTGTCCATTCAGCAGCAATCAGAATTCTGACATGAGCTTAACATGGTGGCTGCAGATTAAATTAAATGAATTTGCCCTGGGCGGTGCTTGGTAGAGTGTGGATACTTCTATTTGTTGATACTTTCAGTTACAATAGTCCCCCCTTATCCTTAGGGGATGTATTCCAAGACCCCCAATTGATGCCTGAAGCCACAGATACTACTTAACCCTATGTATACTTTGTTTATACTCTGTCTCTATGATATTTGTACATACATCTGTGATATAGTTTAATTTGTAATTTAAAGTCAGAGATTAGCAATAATAGCTAATAAAATAGAACAATCATTACAATATGGTATAATAAAAGTTATGCAAATGTGAGCATATGTATGAATGCTCACTCTGTCTTGCTGTCTCAAAATATCTTATTGTACTTTTGCCTTTTCACTTATGGGAAGCACTTTGTGACTTCTCTTTGGCATAGTTGAGGTCCCAGCATCCCTACTCTTGGGTTGCTTGAACATAAGCAGTATGATATGATAATCTTGAATGGCTGCTTAGTGACTAATGGGTGAATAACATACAACATGGATATATTGGACAGAGGAATTATTTATGTCCTAGGTAGGATAAAGTTGGACAGTGTGAGATTTCATGTTACTCAGAGCAGCACATAATTTAAAACTTATGAATAATAATTATAAATTATTATTTCTAGAATTTTCCATTTGTATTTTCAGACTGTGGTTGACCTCAGGTTAACTGAAACTACAGGAGTGAAATAGTGAATGAGGTGTGACTGTTGTATCATCATGTAAAACCAGTACAATCTTTTTAAACTTTCTTTTTTTTTTTTTTTAAACCTCAGGTCTATTGTTGCCTACCAGCCAGCAGGGCTGAACACTCATGCCTTTGATGCTGCTGCCTTTTTTAAGTCAGTTGGCATTTTCCTAGGTATATTTAGTGGCTCTTTTACCATGGGAGCTGTGACTGGTGTTGTGACTGCTTTAATATCCTTTTTATAGTTTGTACCCCTGCCTGGGTATGTGTATGTGACATTACACTTTGAGAGTTCTCAGATCTTCCTTTCAGATCAGATTCTTAAATTGGTTGTTCCAATGGGGTGTAGTGATTCCTGAAATGTGTCCCTCAGGTGACGTACCATGGTTGGGCCCCTAGCTAAGAGTCTAAGAAAAATATTGGGAAGGAGGCTCTAATACTCTGCTTTGTCCTCATTTTTGCCTACCCCTCCTTGCTTGTGAACCAATTCGAGTATCAATTGAAGGGGGGTAAAAAAAGCTGAGAAGTATGTAGGAGACTAGGGATCAGGGACCACCAGCTTGGAAGGACTTTAGCCTCAGGTTGCTGCTACTGTCTGCTGATCAAGGCTATGTGGGTGTTAACATGATCAAAACTAGCTGGGGGCCATCCATGGGAATTATTCTACAGTGGTCTTCCATGAGCAAATGATGGCACAATCTTTAATTTAAAATAAACAAACAAAAAAACACAAACCAAAAATGCAAAATGTAGAAAGAGCTCCACAAATGTGTTCTTTCATCATATCCTCTTTGATGAGCATTATAAATGTAGTGTGAATCACATCAATTCAATAGGCGATCAGTGTAGATACTACAAGAATTATGATAAAATTATTAATGAGATTTTGTGCATTGAATTTGTGCTCTACATCTTTGAAATATGATGAGTATTTTGCTCTTTGCACATCTCAGTTCTGACTAGCTGCATTTTAAGTGTTTAGTAGCCACATGGGGGTAATGGATACTGTGTTCAATAATGCAGGTTTAGGTGGTCTTGTTCACTGAAGCCTTTTTGGTACCCTGGAACTTATTGCTCAGTGAACTCATTCATGAGATGGTTATATGACAGCCCCATGTTGAATGGTAGTGTCAGAAGATGAATCTGTGCTGTTGCCAAAAGGAGACACCAGCACCTGGTAGCTGATTTTGAGACTTGCACATTTCTTTCTTATTGTCCCATGTCTTCATTAGACATAATCTGTGTACTCAGACTATAATGACCCACAGGGTTTGTATTCTTAGGCCTGCCTGCCTGCCTGAGGCCCTCCCAACTCTGCCAGAACTAACCTACCAGGCAAGCCTGAGACCAGAAATGTATTCATATTAATTATAATAAATAATTCACATTTTGTACAAGTCACCGCTTAAAGTATAAACTTCAGTAGCTTTTCTAACCATAAAGTAGATGTTCAACTGTAGTTATTAATTTAAAAAAAATCCTAGCCAGGCACCATGATGCATGAGTGTAATCCCAGCAGCTCAGGATGCTGAGGCAGGAGGATTGTAAGTTCAAGGTCAGCCTCAGCAACTTAGTGAGGCACTAAGTAACTCAGTAACACCCTGTCTCTAAATAAAATATTTTTTAAAAAGGGCTGAAGATGTGGCTCAGTGATTAAGTGCCCCTGGGTTCAATCCCTGGTTTAAAAAAAAATCATGGTAAAATATATAACAAAATTTGCCATTTAACATTTTAAGCACACAATTCAGAGGCATTAAGTATATTTGCAATTTCATGTAACCATCCCCACTATCTAGTCCTAGATCTTTTTCCTCATCTCAAACAGAAACTCTGCCCATTCAGTGTTAACTCCCCATTTCCCATTGCCCTAGCCACTGGCAACTTCTTTTCTGTGGGAAAGCATAATTTTATTACCTAAAAAAATATGCCTGGACTAGGGGTGTAGTTCAGTGTTAGAGCACTTGCCTAGCTTCAGCAGCAGTAGCAGCAGCAGCAGCAGCTGCCGGACCCCAAAAGAGGAGAGGAAGGCAATGGCTAGACCTTAGGGAGGAGTCCTGGGCTGATCAGAGGGTGGATCTTGGTGCCTGGAGCTGCGGTCCTTGACGGGGTGCTGACGTGACCAAGTTTACCAAGCTGCACTGCTTCCCCCTGCTGGAGACGGCGCTCTTTTTCCTGATGTCTTGGAGTACATTTCTCTTGGCAGAAGCCTGTGGATTTACAGGTAGGTTCTCTCTTCCCTCAAGCCACCCTTCCCCTAACTGTAGTGGGGGCTGTGGGACTTTGGCCAGAAGAATTCTTAGCAGCTAGATTTTGTTGATTAACTGCTCGATGAGTATCCATATGGAGGATTGCTGACCAAGGCTAGGGTTTGGTCTTAAACATCCAAGTTTCTAAAAACTACATATTTTTAAGGGTAAAGTTTATTATTCCAAACTCAGCTCAGTTTTTTTTTTACACATTCTAACCATAAAGTAGGTGTTCAGCTGCAATGGCTACTGAATATATTCAAATCTTATTTATATCATTCCCCAGATTACTATATAATTTTATAAACAGCAATAATCAGCAAATATGTATTCCTGTAAAGGTAATTTTGCATCTACTCAGATGAGGATGGACACATTTTTTTCATTGTTTTGTCTCTGAGCTATTTAATCATTGTTTTTTCAATACTAGGTATTTATGGTGTCAGTGAAATATGCAGGTTGAGTATCTCATTATTTGGATTCTTTTAAAATTTCAGACTATTTCTATACACATAAAGAGTTAGCTTGAGGAAGAGACCCAAGCATAAATTCAGAATTCACTTATGTTTTATATATACCTTATACACAGATCCAGAACATAATATTTTATAATATTTTTAATAATTTTGGACATAACACAAAGGTTGTATAAGTCACCCACTTTATAGCTAAAAGAGCTAGGAGGCTCTTTTTTTCTTGGAGGTGCTGAATGAACTGTGTTATGCACTTTTTTTTTTTGGTGGGGGGCTACCAGGGATTGAACCCAGGGGCACTGGACCACTTAGCCACATCCCCAGCCCTATTTTATATTTTATTTAGAGGCAGGGTCTCATGACTTTGGACTGACTTTGAACTCACAATTCTCCTGCCTCAGCTTCCCGAGCCACTGGGATTACAGGTGTGAGCCACCACACATGGCTGCACTTGTGTTTTGACTACATCCCATCACATGAGGTCAGGTGTGGAATTTCCTACTTGTGGCATCATGTCAGTGCTCAAAAATTTTTGGATTGTAGAGCAGTTTAGATTTTAGAATAGGAATAGGGTTATTCAACATATGTAATGTTAGTGTGGATGATAATGTGAGTTTTTTGTCATATTCTCTCATTTTAAAGAAATCACTGAATTTTTCCACTAGGAAACTCAAGTACATTTACTCTATATGATCCAGATAGTTACAGAGAACTTTTATCATCTTTTTAAAATACTACAATGTCTTTATATGCATCATTACTAAATGGCTTACTTCCTTAAAACTTGACTGTTCTCTGGGAAGTATAGTCCCATGTATGTCAGTTGTGTTGCACGACAAAATGGTTACCATTAACTGGAAATCTAGATCATCAAGCCTTGGACAAATGGAATAGTATTCTCAGTCTATTTTGTCTGAGGCCCCAGACTATTAAAAAACATGAAGCATTGGTTTGAAATGAAATACACTCATTCTAAAAACAGACATGAATATGACAAAAGTGTATGAATGGCCCTCGCAGTCTCTTTGGGGAAATGAATGCTATGGTATATGCCAACTACAGATGGCAAATTTAGAGAGAGAAAATGTGCATAACATTGGAGAAATGGAACGAGTTTGGGGACCTGGCCTTGAAGGAAGAGAGGGCAAAGTTGGGAGAAGGAAAGTTTGGTATTACTGGTGAGGAGCAAAGGGAGCTTTCAATAATAGGAAATCTCAAAAATATTTTTGGAAGTTGAAATATGCTAGGTTTGCCTACTACCTTCACTTTTTGTTTTAGCAGGGGTTTTTTCCTGCCTCTTTTTTCTCCATTGACTAAAAAAAAACCCAAATCTCTCCTTACAGGTGTTGTAGCTGTTCTTTTCTGTGGGATCACACAAGCTCATTATACCTACAACAATCTCTCAGTGGAATCAAGAAGTCGAACCAAGCAGGTAAGACAGGGCCTTGGTATTGAGCGTTGCCTGGTAATACAAGGAAGGGGAGTGCAGGGTTTACAATCTCCTTTTCCCTTCTCCACGCAGCTGTTTGAGGTGTTACACTTCCTGGCAGAGAACTTCATCTTCTCCTACATGGGCCTGGCGCTGTTTACCTTCCAGAAGCACGTTTTCAGCCCCATTTTCATCATTGGCGCTTTTGTATCCTTTTCTCATTCTACCATTTTCTACATGGAGAGGTGACCACAGCTGGGGAAGCTCTACTAGTGCTTTAATTGTTATTGTTGTTATTTTATCTGTTTCAGATGCAGGAATAGGCCAGTTCTACTGATACTTTTTACTGTGAGAAAAAGAAGGCCTAAGTGGTGCTTCATAAAGTTAAATGTCTTTTATTTTAAATACTAGCATTTATGTTCAGGTCATCCTTCCTGCATTTTCTGTAAAAAGGATGGCCTCAGTGTTAAGCTGGGGCTTGAGAGGTGATTTTTGTTTTGAGTTCCCTTTTGGGTAAGTCTAAAAGTCAGCAGCAATATCAATCTCCACAATTATTTTTGATATTTCATTGTCATGTGAATTCTAAAACAGGGCCTTCTCTGATTTGGGTGGCTAGAAAGTTGCAATCTACTTGCTCTCAACTACCCACCTATCGTGGGCAGCCTTTCTTCACACTGCCCTGGGGTGCTTACAGGCAGACTACACTCTCACCCAAGCTACCCTGCTGCTATGGATCACAATGTGAAAGTCTCCTTTGCTTTTCCCAAAAAAGAAAGGAAGGAAGGAAGTGATGGAAGGAAGAGAAGATACTTGATTTCTTGACTTGGCCCCATTGTGAATATAGTTTTGGAAAGGGAGACATGGTTTTGAGAAGGGAAACACAGGTTTGGGGATGGCTTTTCTTGAGCAAGGAGGAATTCGAGTGCCTAGCAATTAATATAGTAGCTGAAGGTTTCACTCACTAGGTTTCAAATACTATTGTTTTCATTGGGGTGAACTTTTCTGGGGCTTGATTTTAAGATCCTGAGCAGAAGTCTCCTGTTGTTGGACATTTACTTTCACCTTTTTTGAGGCCTCAGAGTAATCTTTAGCTCTTGGAATTTTGGCAGCAAGGAGTGATTTTCTCTTCTGGGCTTTTTATTTTAATTGGTTGTTCAAAACATTACAAAGCTCTTGACATATCATATTTCATACAATTAGATTCAAATGGGTTATGAACTCCCATTTTTTACCCCAAATACAGATGATTGACACTCCCCAAGCTGCTAGATAGCAGTAATGTTGAAATCCTTCTAGTTACAGTGTCCTATGCTCATACTGGTGGCTCATTTCTTAGATTTACACATTCACCAGACAAATAGCTCAAAATCTGAATGATCAGTGTTTTTCTTTTTCATTAAGAAGGAGAGGACATGTTGTTTTGATTTGTATTCCTTGCATGCTATCCTGTGAGAGCACAGCCCATGTTTACAGATCAGGGCCTGTGACCGGGTGAGCAGAGTCCTCTGGAAATCCTAAAGGCTGCTGACCACTTAAGATCTTCTGCTTCATCTCTGGAGTAGAATTTCTTTTATGAACACTACCTGTTTCCTTTTGTTTAAAAAAAAAGGAAAGAAAGAAAGGAAAAGAAAAGAGAAAAACAGTGCCTTACCCTGGAGGAAACAGAAGATAGTTCCGCCCTGGCTTCTGTCTGAAACAGCTGCAGCTCCTGCAGCTGGCGCTTTGCCTAAACGGAAGCTCCCCATTCCTCTGGCTCCCACAGGGGGTTTCCTTCTCTGACCAGGGGAGTGAGAAGCTCTCTCTGTTGAGTGCTGTCTAAACTTGGCAAGTGACAGATGACTGGTTTCCCTGAATTCTTTGCTTTGCACAGTAGACTTCCTTTTCCACACTCTTCCTTTTCTGTGTTTTATATCTCAAAAAGACATTTCAGCCATTTAGGTAAAGGAATCTCCCTGGGTTGATTCTTATGAGTTATCTGATCATCTCTTTGTTGTATAAATACTTTTAATGTTCCACATCTCTTATTTATAGGTTCTTCCTGGGCATTGAAGTCCCTGGTGTTTACTTGCAAGTGAAGTTTGCAAGCTCTTACCCAGAAAACTTCCTCTTTATAGTTGTTCCAGGATTAGTAATCTTTCTTTCTTGTGATTTTTCTTGCAGTAGAGCCCAATGCACAATTTGCTTTTATTAACTCCTCATTTCTGCCATGGTACTTCAACTTATTTTAGACTCATTTTTAGACAGATTGAAGAATTAATCAATACCATTTGAATTAAGTCAGAAAGTTATAACAGTGTGTTTAACAAGCTAGAAATTATCTCTATGAATGGGAACCTGGGGAACATTGGCCAAATGATACCCATTTTATTGATGAGTGATTTGTCTAGGGGGGAACTACACAGCCTGGCTTCTTTGGGTAGTTCCCTGGATCATAACATTCCTAAAATTCTCTGATCAACCAATTTGTGTGAAAGTGTCTTTCTGGAAACCTGTTGGTCCCTTAACCTTCATCCTGTTGGTCAGGTTGCTATCTTCCTGGGCAGAGCTGCACATATCTACCCACTCTCCTTCTTCCTGAACTTGGGTAGAAGGCATAAGATTGGCTGGAATTTTCAACACATGATGATGTTTTCAGGTAAAAAAAAAAACAAGTATATATGTAATGAAAATTAGTTTTATTTAGCAAGCAATGATAGTATGATTAAAATATAAGTCAGTGAGGTTCATAAAAAGACATTCAAATTTCTGGTTCTTTCGTATTACCTACAATGCAGAACAGGACAGATATATATGTTCAACTGAGTTAATATTGATTTGAAAACCATACTACCAAATGTGAACATTCTCCCTATCGGTATTTGCATATTTACCACCCAAGGGACCTAGAAATATATAAGTATTCAAAGTGCTCGATTGTTTTCTAGCAGTTGTTTATAACACACAAGCTTCTTAGAAGGACTCCAGACCTAAAATTAGAAGGAAGATAACTAGTGATGAAACAAAGCATGGGTCACATCACTCAGCACCTCTCAGCTACAGTATCCTTTCTTGTAAAGTAAAGTAATTGAACCAAGTAGCAGAAGTCCCTCTTTGTTCCGACTTTCTGTGGAGCAAGAGGAATAAAATACACTCAAAAAGCAAGATAAATCCAAAGCTGGATTTAACAGCTATGACAGTTCTGTTTGATTTACACTGTTGTAACCCTTTTCACTATGAAGCTGAGAGATTCAGAAAAGCCACTGAGGGGACAAAGGGCAATAAAGAAAGATGTAGAGGTAAAGAAGGTAGAAAGCAATTGCCATGAATAGATGATAAAGTGAGAGTGGTAAACATCATATGAGACCCAGGTTAGAGCAAGCATGTCATCACACCAAAGAGAGAAGATATTGGGGGCAAAAGACCATCGGGACCCTTAAAGGTACCTCTGACTTGTGGGGTATGGAGAGAGGGGAAGTACCAGAGGACAGAGTGGGTAGTAGCCACTTTACTGGGATGTAGTGGTTTTAGGGGGTCTCACAGAGATGCCTGGAGCCTAATAAAATCATACTGAAATGACTCCAACAGGCAGTACTCCATACATCTCTCCTTCTGTCCCAAGCAAGCTTGCCATGAGCATGAATCTATTCCCTGCCATATTGATTGCCTTTCACTCTGACAAACGTTTTTAGATGTCCTCTTTTTATAAGCCAGAGTTCTAGTTTATGAAAGATACAAAGACCAGCCTCCTTCAAGGAGAGGTCACAGTCCTCTGGGGGTGTGGGGAGACAGATGCACAAAGAGCTAATTTCCTCTCAAGAAAGGATGACAGCTTGTGCAAAGATGTGTAAAAGACAGGACAAGAAGAGGAGTATTCAAGACCATTTTCACAAAAGGGGTGGCCTTCAAACTGGCCTTGGAAGAAATGTAATTTCAGGAGGCAGCAGGTGGAAAGGCAGATAAGCATTGCTCTATGTGCTTTTTTTCAAGGAAGGACAGCAGTTGTGTTTGAAATGTCAGACACATGGAGCAATGCAGAGAGTGAGGTTCCAAAGGAAAAATGCATCTGGTGATCCGAAGCCTTTTGTTTTTATCAAACTTGCCTGTTGGGCTTGTTAAAGCAGATTGTAGGTTCTACTACCAAGGGTGTCTGATTCTGGAGGTGAGCCCCAAGAATTTCCATTTCTAGCACATTCTCAGCTGCTGCCGCTGGGTAAAGGACAGTACTTCAAGAACCACTTTTGTTCAGAGGAGACCACAGAAGCTCCAGAGTTGTCCTAAAGAGCTTGGGTTTTACTCAAGGGCAACAGGAAAACATTGAGAGCTTGATGAAGAAGGGCAGTGACAAGCTTCTGCTTACATATTAGGAAGATGCCAGTGGACAAAAAGAAGACGAATTGGAGATAACTGTCATCTAGGCAAACTTCAAATAGATAAACATTATCTTCTTTACCAAAAGATTGAGATATACACAGTACTATTTAAAGATGCCACCCAAAATATTTTACACTGGCAGAAATTTGGCTATCCAAAGGAACCTATTCTTCAAGGCTTTGAAATGCCTGAGGTTCCCCTTTCATATTGCTTATAGTTTACCTATTAAATTAAAGAAAGATGTCATACATTATCTTTCCCTAGCCCCCCAAATTCTCTTCTTGGTGGCAACATTCCTGTAGAGGCTTAAATATTGACTGATGACCTTGTTGGCTAAAGAGTGATCTAGCTGTATCTAAATAATTCACAGGACAGAGTAATAGAAAACATCACCTTTTAAAATTTTTTTTAGTTGTTGATAAACATGAAGTATCTTTATTTATTTTTATGTGGTGCTGAGAATTGAACCCAGTGCCTCACATAAGCGAGGCAGGTACTCTACCACTGAGCTACAGCCCCAGCCCCAACTTTTCTATTTTTTAAGGTAACTTTTATTGAGTCACTCCTTTGTGAATTGTGAAGGTCTCATATTAATTGTGAAATTATTGGGAAAGGGGAAATTTATAAACAGATATGATAGGTCTAACTTTTTCTTCTCTTGTATAATGTACACATTATCTTGTACTTGGGAAGTAAGAATTTATACTAGATGGGTACTAAAGACTGTGAATTTTGTCTTTACCATAAAACAAATTATGAGCATGGTATGAGAACAGAACAGAGGAGCTTAGAAAGTAAACTCTAAAACATGAAAATGTTGGTTAATCTTAATGTACCTCAAGGATCAACAAAGTACAGCTCCAGGGCTAAATCTGGCTGTTGATAATTATATAAACCTGTTTTTATATACCCCACCAGTTCAGAATTCCTTTTATAGATGAATATTTACAATCTATTTGAGGAGAGGGAACAGTAACTTTGAAACCCAATTAATCAAAATATCCCTCTGCAAAGAATTCTATTCTTTTCATTAGTAGACCTTCATTACAACAAAGTGTACTCAATTGTTCTTATCATATTGTTAATTTTAATTAAATAATAATTTGTAGCAACCTGTTTTCTATCTTTTATATAAATACCTATATAACATCCTTGATTTGGTCTCTTGGTCCACCAAACCTGAAGTATTTAATGTCTGGCCCTTTAAAGAAAGAGTTGGCAACTCCTGATATAAGTCGGCTATATTTTCACTTCTCTGCATGGCTTCCCCCTTTGCTAAGGAAATGCTGCACTGTTTTCCACTAATGTACATTTGACATATTCAGAGCTAGCATGTGTTTTAAGTTTATGTTGACTGGGTAGTGTTTTGATCATAGACTAAGAGAATGTGTGTTATTAACATTTATTTATACTTCTTTTTACTTTTGGTTACTAGCAGGAAAATTATTTAGACAATTAGTGTGTCAGTATCCTAAAATGTGCTGTACAAATTGATGTAGTATTTTTCTCATTGTATTTGGCAATTTTGCAAAACATAACTTCAAAGAGGAGACAGCCATATACGTTTCAGGTTTTTCTTTCTAAGTAAAACAACTTGGCCCCCGAAGCACAAATGGCTGGAGTTTATTACCCACAAGTGGCAGTACTGGATTTTGAGAAGACATTGCCAGTTGTCTTTATCACTAAGAGATCTTCCTCTTTGGTCCCTTCAGGCCTCAGGGGAGCCATGGCCTTTGCTTTGGCCATCCGTGACACAGCATCCTATGCTCGCCAGATGATGTTCACAACCACCCTCCTTATTGTCTTCTTCACCGTCTGGATCATTGGTGGAGGCACAACCCCCATGTTGTCATGGCTTAATATAAGGTCAGTTTGGAACCAAGGCCAGTTTTATATCTCAATATGTCAGTTTCTACTGTTCTTGAGAATGTTCAGTGTGCCTTGCAGGTTGTATGCCACAGCTTAGTTCATGAAGGTTTTTAGTCTTTTGTTTTGGAGGGGGATTAAATTAAGTTTGGAGTAATGGGGCTTTCCAACAGAAACAAAAAATGTCGTCATTAAAACATTTGTCAGTACAAACACAGAGAATTAGAATCACCCGGATTTTGCTAGAGCAGTGATATCAGGGCACAAATTTAGAGTGTTAAAACTGCAGGAAAGAGAATAGACCTGTAGCCTCTGACAGTCTTCAGTATTTCATGTCCCTTTGCAATGAAACCTGAAGGATAAGCTCATCAGCCAGAAATAGAATTAGAGTTTTGTTTTAGCATGAGATTGTATGCTGTGTCTCTTCTTGCTTGAGGGCACAAAAGGTTGACATTTCTTGTGTAACTCTCATTTGTTGCAGCTGTGTGTCAGTAAAGAGGAACACTGACCCGAGTTTGGTTTTCTAAGAGCATTTGAACTCCAAACTGTGTTTGCAAACTCCAATACCAACATTGGAACATTTCCAGAGACCCACAGCTTAACTTGGACTCTGGTTTAAGACAAGCCCCTCTTACCTTTGAAACTCAGTTTTTCTCAATGTTAAATGAAGGCACTCTGCCACATTACCTCCAGGGCCCTTCTGCTCCAAGTGTTGCAGTTTCAGATCTACAGGGAATGCCATGATGGTGATGGGAACCAAGAGATAATTGTGTACTAAGATGTGAGGAATCATTCTGTGAAAAGCCACCAGGTGGCAATGTTTTTCCTTTCTCTGCTGGCTTTTAATTTGCATTACCTTCTCCACATGTAAAGTAGCTTGGAGGAGAAAAAATGAACAAAGATCTTCCAACCATCCTTAGAGTGAGGGAGAAAAAGTAGAACTTGAAAGAATAGCCTCTTCTACCTGAGGCTTTTGTATTAATGGCAGGTAGGGATTCCTGGGCTTGAGCACTACCAGCTGGGTTAGGGTGTCTCTACTTGCAGATAAAGGTGGGAGCTTATCATTGATAGTTATAATCATTATTACATTTGTGTTGCAGGTATTGTTTTAGATATCATGCATGTACTAAGATAATTCTCATAACATTCCTGTAAGGGAGATATACTATTATTTCTATATTATTGAGGAAACTGAGTCGCAGAGCAACAACTTGCCCAAGGTCACAGAGCTTTAAGAGGATGAAATAGGATTTGAACTCAGGCAGTCTTACCAGAGTCCACACGCTTAAACACTGTGTTGTACATCCTGTTAAAAGGGTTGCTGTGCTAACAACTACTTTGATGTTATGAAATTTGGAATGGTTAGAATTTCAGCTTCCTGACATGAATCTCAAGGGTTGGATGAAATAAAATAATCCATTCTGGGGAACATAAACCTGAGGAAGAAAATTTACAGTCTTGTGGTTTTAAACTTGAGACATAAGATAGTACCATCTTTGGGTTGGGGCTGTGGCTCAGAGGTAGAGCGCTCACCTACCATGCATGAGGCACTGGGTTTGATCCTCAGCACCACATAAAAATAAAATAAAGATATTGTGTCTACCTATAACTAAAAAATAAATATTATAAAAAAGATAGTACCATCTTTGTTTTGTGTAGCAGGATGAGGGTAAGAAAGGGGGATTGGTTCTGCACACAGTTTAGAACCTTTACCTTAGGTCATCTCTGAGATTATTTCTTGTTCCTGTTTGTCTGATCACCCAGTAAGTGCCCTGGATGCTCAGAGCCTGATTAAATCATATTTGATTTTCTAAGTCTTTTTCTGTTTCCACCCTCATCCAAACATATGCAGGACCAAATAATTTTCTACAGAGTAGAGAGTAGATTTGTTTGTATTTTTCATGACCCTTTTCAAAAAGTGGGTCATTAAAACAATCCTAGCCAGAGCTGAGAACATGAGCAGCTTTCCTTCAGCTACATAAACTGTAGGTAAGGGAAGGATGTTGAACTAGGCTAGAAATGGATAGGAAGGAGGTAGCAGGAATTGCTACTGAGCAAGCAACAAACAGTATTTGCTCTAGGAATCATTTTCTGACATCTTACTGTATACTAGGTGCTATTTTCTAAGTGCTTTCTGTATATAGTTGGCCCTCATTTTTGTAGGTTTCAATGAACTATGGATTGAGAAATTTTGGGAAATATTGTTTCTGTGCTGAACAGGTGTAGACTCTTTTCTTTTCATTATTTCCTAAATATATAGTATGACAATAATTTACATAGCATTTGAATTATATTTGGTATCATAAATAATCTAGAGGTGATTTAACCTATCTGGAAAGGTGTGCATAGGTTTTATGCAAATAAGATGTTCTTTCCTATGAGGGACTTAAGCATCTGAAGATTTTGTTATCCAAGAGTGTCCAGGAACCAATCCCCTGTGGATACTGAGGAATGACTGTATTATGTTAACGTCTTTAATAATGCAATTATGTATTTGTAAATATACACTTTTATTCTGGTGTTGTGAATATTCTTTGAATGAGGAAACCAATACATAAAGAGGTTAGGTAGCCTGGCTTTGGTATCATAGTTACATGATGACAGGTCAAGGTCTTATGCAACTCTGAAGTCTGTGCTCTTATTTAGTCTTCTAGAATACCTGGGTAAAGCAACAGATTCCGATTTTGTGGGGCCTAGAGCTTTTATACAATTTAGGGAGCTCCTTTACATTGCTCATACAAAATCAGGTATAAGTTAAATATTTGCTAAAAATATATAAAGGTGAATTTTGCTGAATAGATGAGAAATAAATTATAGTATGTTTCAAAGTTTTCAAAAGTTAATAATAAATATAAATATCAGTGTCCAGAAAAATAATAGAACGTTTTATTTATTAGCTGACAGCTGTACAAGTTGAGCATCCCTAATCTGAAAAATCCAAAATCATAAATACTCCAAAATCCAAAACATTTTGAGCACTGTGACTCTCAAAAACATTCAGATTTTAGAGCATTTTACATTTCATAATTTGAGGTTAAGGATACTCAACTAGTAAAGTCTATGCAAAATTTGAAAATCCAAAAACTCTAAACATTTCTGGTCCTAAGCATTTCAGATAATACTAATACAGATAATGTGTAATACTTTTTTCCTACTTTTTAAAATCTGCCTACTTTTTGATCCCCTTTTCATATAATAATTTTATAATCTATACAGAGAGAATAGAAATATAAATCAGTCTTTTCTCTCAAGCATAGGTGGTCAATATTTGCTATTATTTGTAATTTGTATTTTAGAAAGCATTCTTTCAGCTTTATTACTTTTTATTGGTAATGTCATGTAAAATTTTGAAATTGTCAAATTTAGGAAAACCTCAATCAAAATTTTCTCATATGTGAGCCAGAAGATTTGAGGGCATAAAATTTTTTATGCAGCATCATTTTTAAAAACCTTATTATATTTTGAAATATTTACAGATTCACAGGACATTGCAAAAATAGAGCCAAGAGATGCCATGTGTGTTTCACCCATTATTTTTCTGTTCATTACATCTTGTATACCTATGGTACAATATCTCAGTAGGAGCTGGCATGGGTTCAATGTGTGTGTGGTTGTATGCCTACTTTTTAAAATTCATATTTGATTTTCTAAAGACTATCTTTGTATACCTTCTTTGGTAAAATATCTGTTCAATGTTTATCACATCTAGGCTCACATAAGCATCATCTGCACTCAAGATACAGAACTTTTCCATCAGCATGAAGATGTCCCTAGTTTCACCCTGTATTTCATATCCACCTCCTTATCCACCACCATCCATAACACCTGGCAACCTCTAATTTGTTCTTTTGTCATTTGAGAACATTATATAAATGGAACCATACAGTATATAATCTTTTGAGATTGACTTTTTTTTTCCTACTCAGCCTAATGCCCTGCAGAGGTTGTCTCATGTATGAATGGTTTATTCCTTTTTATTGCTGAGTAAAAGTCCATGGTATGGATATATCATATTTGTTTAACCATTCACCCCTTAAAGGAAATTTGTGTACTTTCTAGTTTTATGGCTATCATAAATAAAACTACTGTGAATATTTGTGTATAGGTTTTTGCATTGGCATGGTTTTCCTATCTCCAAGATACATGTACAGGAGTATGACTGCTAGGTCAGACAGTAAATGTGTGTTTGAATTTCTAAGAGCCAGGCGTGGTGGTGCACACCTATAACCCAGCAGCTTGGGAGGCTGAGACAGGAGGATTGCAAGTTCAAAGCCAGCCTCAGCAATGGCAAGGTGCTAAGCAACTCAGTGAGACCCTGTCTCTAAATAAAATACAAATAGGGCTGGGGATGTGGCTCAGTGGTCAAGTGCCCCTTAGTTCAATCCCTAGTACCAACAACAACAAAAAAAAAATTTCTAAGAAATTGCCAAACAGTTTTCCAGGGTGGCTGTACCATTTTATATCCCCACCAGCAGTATACAAGAGATCCAGTTTCTTAGCATCCTTGCCAACACTTGGTATTGCCACTATTTTTCATTACATCTATTCTAATAAGTTTGTGGGGATAGGTCATTGTGATCTTAATTTGCATTTCTCCTCTCATGGCTAATGATGTTGAACATCTCTTCATGTGTTTATTTTCCATAAACATACCTTCTTTGGTAAAATATCTGTTCAATGTTCAAGTTTTTTGTCCATTTTTTAATTGGATTATTTATTTTTTATTGATTTTTGATAATTCTTCATTCTAGATGATAGACTTTTGTCAGGTATATGATTTCTAAATATTTTCTCCCAGACTGTAGTTTGTCTTGTTATCCCTTTAATAGAGTTTTAGAGTAGAAGTTTTAATTTTGATGATGTATAATCTTTTTTTTCTTTTATAAATCATGCATTTGGTGTCATATCTGAGGACTCTTGACCAAGCCCTAAGTCCTGAAGGTTTTCTTCTGTGTTATTTCCTTAAAGTTTTTTTTTTTTATTGTGTGGTTTAATAAAATGACTCAAAGTTACTTTTTTGTAAAAGAAGTGAGGTTAGGTTGAAATATTATTTTCTTTACCCATGACTACCCAGTTGTTCCAGTATGATTTATTAGAAAGACTATCTTTACTCTTTTATTTTACTTCTTTGTCAGAAATCAATTGTCTATGTGCATTGGAGCCATTTATGTTCTGCTCCATTGATTTGTGGGTCTGTTCTTCCTATAATACCTTGCTGTTTTGAGAACTATAGTTAATACAGTAAGCCTTGACATTAGGTAGAGAAATTCTGCCCACTTTCTTATTCTTCTTTTTTTAGAATTGTTATAGTTATTCTAGTTCTTTTGCACATTAATTTTAGAATGAGCTTGTCTGTATCAAAAAAATCTTTCTGGGACTTTTCTTAGGAATTACATTAAACCTATATATGCCAGTTTGGGGAGATTGATATCTTCATTATGTTGTGTCTTTCAATCCATGAACATAGTATGTTTCTAAATTTACTTTGACCTTCTTGAATTTCTGTCATTAGTATTTTGTATTTTCCACTGTACAAGGCCTTTACATGTTTTGTTAGGTTTTTGTATCCTGTCACCTTGCTGAACTGACTTTTATTAGTTCTAGGAAGACTTTTCTTTTTTTTTTTTCATAGAGTCTTTGAGATATTCTACGTAGACCATCTTGTCACTTGCAAATAAAGACAACTTTATTTCATCTTTCCAACCAGCGTGTCTTTTCTTTTCTTGCCTTATTGCTCTAGTTGACTTTCTATACCATATTTATTAACTATATTTATTATCTTGTTCCTGATCTTAAGAGGGAGCATTCAGTCTTTCCCCACTAAGTGTATTGCATTAATTATAAGATGGTTTTTTTTGTAGATTTTCATGAGGAAATTCCTATCTCCTTTTTGGTTTCTGAGAGTCTTTGCAATTAATAGGTGTTGAATTTTGTTACTTTTCCTGCATCAGTTGAGATGATCCTATTATTTTTCTTATTTAATCTATTACTATAGTGAATTACATTGATAATTCTCAAATATTGAACCAGTATTGCTTCTCTGAGATAAATCTCACTTGTTTGTGGTACATTGCTTTACATTGTACTACATTCTATAAGCAAATATTTTGTTAAGAATTTTTATTTCTATATTCATGAGGGACATTGATCTGCAGTTCCCTTTTTTGTACTTCCTTTATCTGGTTTTGGTGTTAGGGTAATATGATTTCACAAAGTAAGTTGGGGCATGTTCCATACTCTTATAGAATTGGTATTATTATTATTTTTTTGAATGTTGGGTAGAAATCAAATCTCTAGTGAAATCATTTAGACATGGAGGCTTCTTTCCCAGGAATTTTTAGATTGTGTAGTTATAGGGCTATTCAGATTATATATTTCATACTGCATTTTGGTGGATTGTGAAATTAGTCCATTTTATCTGATTTGTCATGTTTGTCTTATTCATAATATCATTCCCTTATTATCCTTTTGATCTCTTTGGGGTTTACACTGATATCCTCTGATTTATTCCTGATACTTTATGATATTTCATTCCTTTAATGTATACTTTCTCTCTTTTTTGTCAGTCTTGCTAGAGGTTTATTGATTTATTGATCTTTTCAAAGAACCAACTATTTATTTCATTGATTTTTCTGTATTCTTTTTCTAATTTCCATTTAATTGATATTTGTTCTTGTCTTTATTATTTCCTTCCTTTTGTCCAACTCTACCCATATATAATAATGAAGCAAAGTGTGCCACCGTTGAAAAATACAGTATCGATTGGTTAATTGCATTTTCTAGATGTGTATAAATAGTGTTTGTGTAAATGTAGAAACTGGCATTTACAGAGATTACATCAAAAGAAATTCCCTTCAAAATAGGGTAATGAGACTGACTCATTGGTTTCTTTGGCTTCTGATGTTACTTGATGGCCATGAATCATTTTTGTAACCCAGGTTCTTATTTTTAATTGATTCAGAAACCCCCTAATGTTCAGTGTGGTGTTTTGACCCCTGTGAACTCAGTAGGATTAGTACCTAGTTGTTCCTTATTTCTCCAGCCTGCTGAAAGAGGCCCTGATTAACTGTTAAGTAACTGTTCAGAAGTTGGAAGCTCAGAGTAGGTCTTGGAATTCCATCAGAAATAATTAGGATATGGCCTTGATTCTTACCCATGGCTAAATTCAAGTCTCTGTATAAATGAATACAACTACAAATCCAAAGCCAGGTCACTGCTTTCTATAAGTCCAACTTATATGTTTTAAAAACTGATGTTTTATGATTAATATTTTAAAACATAATGGCAGAATGCTCCAATTTTTTTCTGTTAATCCATAAACTACATAATATTTTTCTTAGTCTCTTGAGTAGGTGTTGTTATTCACAATTTTGGCAATTTAGACAAATAATTGTGGGATTATTTTAGCAGATGAGCCTTATTACATTGTGATCGCATAGTGGCTGTCCTCTTAGATTTCCTAACCTCAAGTGACACAAGTGAAGTGACAGAGATGTTGGGGTGGGATGGGGTGATAGAGATGATGGGGTGGGGAGGTGATAGAGAGATGATGGGTTAAAGTGGACCTTTGTATCCTAAGGGCAGTAATGTAATCATCCAAGAACAAGTAAGAACACTGGCATAATCCTGTTAGACTAAGAACTTTTGGTAAAGAACTTTGCAAGATAATGTGAGGAATAAAGGTAGGAAGGAGCTCTGAGCTTTTTATGTAATAGCATTTGTTAATGGATATTTTTAGAATTTACAGATGCTACCTTGTACTCAAGGGGAAGAGCTGAGGTTCTGGGGTCCAACTGCCTATGTTGGAGTCTTGCCTCCACCATTTTTATCTTTGTGACCTTGGGCAATTTATTTCATCTCTAACCCTTGTTTCCTCAACAAATTTTAAATAGGGACAATCATAGCATGATGATAAAAGTAATTATGTAGATGTGATGAAGAATTCTTTCATTAGAGGATGGGGATATAACAGTGGTAGAGTGCTTGCCTAATGTGTGCAGGGCCCTGGGTTCAATCCCCAGAACTGAAAAAAAAAAAGACAAAGAAAAATTATCTCATTAAATGTGCCATTTGACACATGGTAAGTACTTAGCATATTTTAGCTGTTATGTTTTCCGATGTTACTGTTATTACAATTACTCACACAGCAATGAATCTTACATTAAATAAATCCTGGCTTGTTTTTCTGGTATTTGTTATATTTCTTAATGCTATAGTAATATAGAGTGGTTCAAGTCACATTTTGAACATGTAATAATAGAAAGATCTACCTTAAGAAGTATTATGTTGTTACTAGCATATTTCAGGAAACGTAAGTAGCATGAATATGTGGGCATTGCTGGGCACAGTGTTTCTCAACCATTTTTTCATTGTTTTTCTCCCTAAAGAGCCTTAAAATTTTTTCTTCTCAATTATTTCCTCTAATAAAATGTTAATGCCACAGATCTGCTATATATCTGTTTCTGTATTATAGCCCTTGGATGGCCACAAACCATTATACTATCTAAGATTTTTTTGTTACACAAGAACCAATTTTCATATCCACAGGAACAACATCACCCCCATTGAGAATACATGATTTAGTGCAGTGGTTTTTAACTCAGGGCAATTTTGCCACCCAGGAGACATTTGTGAACATCTGGAAACATTTATGGCTGCCACAATATAGGGTGGGTTGCAGGGGGCTGCTATTGTGGGTAGAAGCTAAGGATACTCCAGTGCACAGGAGGATGGTCCCCCACAACAGAGAATTATCTAGTCCCAAATGTCAACAGTGTTGAGTTTGCCAAACCCTCTCTAATTTATATGGTAGTCAAATTTAATGCACTTTGAATAGCCCAGAAATCATTAAGGAAGTCACTGTGAAAGTGGACCATGTCAAGTCAAAGGCCACAAGGAAAAGGGAATTGTAGAAGTGGAGTTCTTGACCTTTAGGTTGAAACTGTGGGCATTGTGGTTTGCTTATCTAGAATAAAGGGTCATCTGTGTCTTTTTAAGTATTGTTATTCTTATCCAATAATAAAATGGTTTTTGCTCTGTCAAATATGTGTAAAAATATGTTTAAATGCTTTCAAATATGTGTTTAGTAATGATTAACTGTTTTCTATTTTTGGTATGGGCATATCTTTCTTTATGAAATAGATGAATGCCTGGAAAACTGTATAAATTCATTTTGTATAAGATGTACTTAATTCCTCTGGCATTATTACATTATGTTTCAAGAGACTTAACTTCATTCTTAGTTGGTTCTTATTTGACCTGGCTTCTAACATTGTTGATTTACATTTAAATTTAGCAGCTCCTCTGCCTCTCTCTGGGTTTTAGAGAATGGGGACAGTTTAAGAGGGATATGTAGCTTAGTAGCAGAGTGCATGCTTAGCATGTAAGAAGCCCTGAGTTCAATCCCTAGCAACAAAAAACAAGAAGGGTATGTATTTATATAGAAAGTGAGATGGCCTATTCTTTCATGCACATGGTCCAGGTCATATGTCCAGGACTCATGGCACCCCTGTTATCCCTATCACACTCACATTCCCTTCTTTGCTGCCCAGAGTTGGTGTGGAGGAGCCCTCCGAAGAGGACCAGAACGAACACCGATGGCAATACTTCAGGTGACACAAGGGCATCCTCAGAAAACAATTAACTGGGCCTGGCTTTTTTCCTTTCTAACCTCAGATATTTCTCTTTATGCTGATTGTTTCTTTTAGCCAAGGGGCTGGAGGTTAAATTAATTCTAATCATTCTTTCCACCCTTTCTCTGGATTGATTGATGTGTCTCAGTGTTGCTGGGATTCTTTCCCCTTTCCCCACATTTTGGACAGTGTATTGTCGACATGAAAGCCTGAGTTGGCAGGTGTCTCCTTTTGGTGCAACTGAATTTAGTGTTAAGAACAGCTCATTTTCAGTGACACACTTTTTCTGTAACATCCTGCTTATGATCTACTAAATAAGGTTTGTGACTCATATAGGGTACTAGAATTTCCTATTTCAATCGTGAGTGAAGCGTGACTTCTTTCATCCTAACTAAATACACACGTTCTTGTGTTTTTTAGAGTATTATTTGTGTGCTTATACCTTCTCATGGTGATTCAGAAGGTATGAAGAATATTTTTTAAACAAAATTATAAATATCCCTCTAAATGCAATTTGTTTCTCAGTATCCATTCAAGTTTATGATATAATTATGCTTAAGGGTGGTGATGTAGGAACAAACAGAATACAAACTTTAATGTTTCTTCTTTCCTTTCTTTAGCTCTAACTGGTATGCTTTTTTCCTGATCTGATTCTCAGTACTGGTAGATAGATAAAATGCAAAATATGCTTGAACTCTGTTCTTGGCATTGTAAAAATATTTTACTTCCTGGAGGCAGTGGTAAAAGCAGCAGTACCATGATTCTTGGGATATCATGTCTGAGATATACACTGTAATGACATGCATGAAGTTAACTGTAATTGTTAAGCTCACTGGGTTCTATTATTAAAGACACACACACACACAAGTTCATTTTTGGATACCTCACTTTAGGTACCATATAAGTTACAGATGAAACTCTTTCCTTTGGCACATCCTATATTTATTTTGAGACACCGTCTCACTACATTGCTGAATCTGGTCTTGAACTTGGGATCCTCCTGCCTCAGCCTCCTGAGTCACTGGGATTACTGGTGTGCACAACCACACCTGGCTGAAACATTCCATCTTTAAGAAGGAAGTATAAGTTATTACACCTGGGACACGAGGGAATTCAGATTATGACCTGATGTTCAAGGTTTTATATGAAGGTGTGGTACAACTCAGTGGGGGAGCACATGCATAGGGTACTGGCACCACCTCCAAAATTTAAATTAAAAAATTAAAGTAGAATACTTCTAAAGCTTCTGAGATTTCAAGACATTTTTCTGTTAACCAGAATGAACAAATTATTATACCAGAAGGAAGTTATTAATTTTTGGTATTTATTCATTCCAGAATGAGCACATCAGTTTGATTGCTTTATTTTCTCTTTGGTGTAGGATTTCCACATTTGTCTAATTCTTAATGCAAGTAAGTATAATTCAGTTTATTCTGGAAGAAAAGACTGTTATGTGTGCTCCAGTGAGCTCAGCCTACATGTATCAGGGGAATGCTAAAATATTATATAATAAAGCAGAACAAAAAGTTCCATATTTATATAATGTCCTAGGTCAAAAAAGCCTTGCATCAGGTCAGGAGAGAAAATATATATTATGAAGTCACCTGAAACTAGGAATTTCAGAAAGTTAGGGGACCCTGACAAGTCTTCTGAGGCTTTAAAACAGATTAAAATCATCTATCTGGTCTTTCTTGCTGCCTAGCACCACACCAAACACCCTGGCCCATTGCTTTACCTCCTGTTCCCAGAGGCCAGTTTGGTTCTGGGCTTTGCCCCAAGGGTGGGGCCTTATGTAGGGAGTCTCAGGGTCCTGTGTCATCCTTGGGGATTGGTCCAAGGGGCCCTCAAGCCTGCCAGAAGAGTAATTATGAAATCACCCTAAAGTAAACAGCATTGAATGGAGAAAGAAATTGCAGAAGGATGATATTTGTGTCTCATAGCCCATGTTCCGTTTTCTTTGGGGCATTTAAAAGCAGTAGCAATCTGGGAAGCAGGTCTTTGTTTTCTTTCTTGGAATTTTCATATTAAGCACTTATACCAGAAGTAGGGACCTCCAGGAGACCCCCAAGTACCTTCCCTGGTTACTCTGTCTGTGGGAGGGCCCAGGAGATCAATCCTTTCAGGTTCTGTGCTATCAAGAGTTTTTAGGCTATAGTTCAGGTTATATGTGGTTGATAGCAAGTGGCTGCAGTGAAGGTTGGAACTTCCATGGCAGAAAAATGATAAAAATAAGGAAAAGGCACATTGGGTAAGACGGTCCTTGGAACTACAGATTTCCAGGGGGTATATTCAACCAGAACTGAAGATGGTTATATTGGTTGGAGTTTAATTAACTATCTCAGTTAACTAGCCTTTTTTCCCTTTTCCTTTACATTTAAGAGAAAGGGAATCTCAACAAAACATTCCAGAATTTACTGGAAAATGTTTAAATTACATAATTACTGGAATCTCTATTTGTCTGTTTCCTATATTTACCTATTATTTAGCACCCTGTGCTCATGAATCCTTATAATTTGTGGTTTTTAGATCCTGAAATAATATGAGCTCATGAATCATATTAGTAGATTGAATTAGAAAGGAAAATAGACTGACGTGTTTTTGAAACATTTTCACCAAGGATATAATTAAGTATTCTTTTTTTTAATTGTGAAAAAATTTAAATCTAAAAAAAAAGAATAAAACAACGAATACCTACATACTAACCTGGATTTACCACTTAAGATTTTTATCATTTCAAAAGGTCATTTATGTGTCCCCCCCTTACTCTCACCTGTTCCAAAATACCTCAAAATACATTGCAGACATCATGACTTTCCATCCCTAAGTACTTTAAAGAGTATGTCCTAGAAATCCAGTCTACTATATGACCATAATCGTTCTTTTACACCTAAAAAAAGTAACTTGAATTTTACACACACACAGACACACACATCCAGGATCCAATCACAGCTTACTTTGTCATGTCTGTTTAGTTTCTTTTAATCTAGAATAAAACCCCCCGATTTTTGGTCTCTTATAATATTGATTTTTTTTAAAGCATTCATGGTAATAATCCCACAATCTGGATTTTTCTGATGTTTTCACATGACTAGAGATGAATAATCATTCTTGTTAAAATACTGTAAAGGTTATACTATACGTTGCTTGTTGCGTCCTATCAAGTGGCACATGTTGTCAGTCTTCCTCTTAAGTGATGTCACAGTTGATCACTTGGTTAAGGTAGTGATCCCAGTCTCTCTACTATCAAGGTACCATTTTTTTCTTGTTAATTAAAAAGTAATTTGTAGGATGATCTTTTAACATCATATACAAGGCCAAACTCCCTACAACATTTACTCAGTGGTAAAATCATTCACTAATGATCCTTGATTTAAAAGAGTGATTATACTGGGGGTGGAAAAATGGAGATTTTCTAATTCTGTTATTCCTTTCACTTTGCTGCTGCTGCTACTATTACTACTATTACTGATACTGGCGATTGAACTTACGGGTGCTGGCTTCAATCGGGGCATACCACTGAGCTACATCCCCAGCCCATATTTTTTTTTATTTTGAGACATGGCCTTGCAAAAATTTTGAGGCTGGTCTTTAACTTGTGATCCTCCTGCCTCAGCCTCCTGAGTCACTGGGATTATGGGCATGCACCACTACATCTGGCTATTATCCTTTCACTTTGTAAGATGATGATCCCAATAGAGAAGAATATTATAGTATTTTAAATTTTATATACTGACAAAGTAAGGAATCTCTCCAATAAGTAATCAGTTCAGGAAAAATTTTACTTAATATTTATACTACTTGGGGTTGTGTCATCACAGGAGCCTGGTGTTATCCTTGATAATAGGAATTTGGGTGTTAGTGAGCAAGCAAAAAGTTAGCAGACAGTTGTTGCTTTTTTAGTTAAAAAATGTGATAGTGGAGAGACATGGCTAGAATTAGTTCATTCTGGAATCTGCACAAGTCCAACTTAGTAGCCACTAGTTACAGATGACTATTTAAATTTTAATTAATTGAACTAATATGTAAAATGCAGTTCCTCAGTTATACTAGTTCTATTCCAAGTGCTCAGTGGTCACATGTGGCTGGTGGTTACCATATTAGCATAGGGATAGGACACTTCCATCACTGCTGAAAGTTCTGTTGGGCAGAGTAGATCTAGAACAATCCTTAGGTTTCCCCAGAACAAAATGGCGAAGTTCACAGGTTTTGAATGAGATCAAGGAGACCTTAACTTCATGAGTTCATCAAGTTTTACAGTGTTTTGTGCTTTGATTTAGAATTCTGTCCTGACTAAGTGGGCCCAGGATAAATGGCTGCTTCTAGGACTTGAATGAAAATGGTCCAAGCCTAAACTTTATATAAGCAATTCTTGTTAAACAGATGTATTTTAGTTCTGGTTAAACAGATTTTATTCTAGAAGAGATGAGTTGAAAAAATTGAGAAGGCTAAATTTTACTTGGTAGCTTTTTCTGTATTTGACTTTATTTTCTTTGTTATAATACAAGACACACTGACATCTTTTTGCCCTGTCCGTAGGCCTCCTATTTTATCTGTATTGATAAAGTCAATTTGTTTAACTGGTAGTGACATGGAAGACACATAAAAGCTAATATACCTCTTTCAAAATTCACAGTGCAAAAGGTAGAGGTTGATAGTAACGCATCCGAAGTACCATATTCTTGGTCACACTGCCCTTTACACCCTTCAGCAGCCTATCTGTGGTTAGGCTAAGGGCAGGTGTGTCACCTGGAATTCTGGTAGGCTGACTGAGAGATGCTTGGCCAGTGCTTGGCCCTTCTGAATATGTACCTGGGAGCTCATCTTAAGTAAATTAGTCTGGCATTAAATGGCTTTGCACTGCTATAGAATCTACAAAATTAAAGCTAATATTGGATTCCTAGCTGTTGACCTTGTCCATTGGTAACAAAACCATTATATAGAGGACTTTTCTTTCTGAAATATACATTAAGAGACTAAAAACTGGTGAGGATTAAAGATCACAGCTAAGAATTCAATGTGTGACCTCTCTTTTGGCCACTTTTATACATTGGACACTCGGTGTGCACTAGAACTCTGGTGTGTTAGTTTCATGGGCAGCCCTTGGCCTCCTGGATTGGATGGCTTTCATGTCAAAAGATCTCCATGAGATTTATTGTTCATACATTCCCCAGATAATGTCCAGTGGCAAGGACCACTGCCTGGAAGTAGCCTCTATCATGTAGCAAAGTCCATCTAATTCAATACAAAGATCTCATCAAACCCCAGGCCATGGCAAAGAAATCTAGTGTGAAGCCCACTATAGGCTTTTAATTAATTGCTTAGAACAGTACCTGGCAGAGTATGATTTTTGTAAATACTGAATGTATGAATGCACCTTATGGTTTTAAACTTTGCCTTCAGCACAAGATGAGGTAACTGTTCCCTTTTCTTTTCTATCACCCTTCCCAGGGGTATGCACCTCAGGTGAGTGCTACACAAGCCCAGAATAAGATAGAGATTGGCTTTGAGAGGCGAGGCACTTTTGTGTTGACTTCTTACATACACTCCCATTTCTATATAGTCTCTTACCTTAGAAAAGATTCTGGGTGCCATGGGAGGAGGGAGAAGAGAAAGAGGAAGAAAAGTAAATGCTTGCACATGGGGCTTTGTGCATCCCCTGTCGGCTCATTAGAGTCAATGCCCTGGTAGCAGACAGCAGAGACAATCCTGCCAAACCCACTCACACCTCCCTTCTAGCACAAAGCTGACCTAATCTACTAAAAACTTCACTCTTGGTTTACCTTTTATACACGGTACATTCTTTGGACACTGGAAGGAGTGAAGGGAGATAGAGAGTTTTTTTGTTATCTCTGTTTTCTCCTCCTTGTTCCATATTATCCACGTCATCAGTATCACAGTTCTGTGCCTCAGAATGAGGAAGGTGCATACAGCAATAGTTGGTATGTGACTTAAGCCAAGACAACAGTTCCTCCATGCTTTTCTGGAATTTGTTCTAAGTGGATTTTGTCACTATACCTTTTCTTTCTATCTTCAGTTGTTGCTTTTAGTTGTGTGAGTTCTAAAGATCATCTTTGGTGCAGGAAAGTTTGGGATCACTGGGAAAGCAAATCGAGATTCTAGGTAATAATACTGTTAAAGAAAACATTATTCTGATACTTGTTAAAAGGGTAAGCAGACTTTATTCAGGACCATCACAGTTGGTATAGGAACTATGATGGAGTTTGACAGTAGAAGGAAAAAGCTAGGGCTCAAAAGATAGACCATTACAAAGAGGAAACATCAAGGTAAGAGAGATTCTGGCTAAACTGACCTGATAGGATTCTTGCTGAAGTCGGGCCAAGATGATGTCATCAGCCAGGGTTTGGTAGAGGATGGAGAACCCCATCAGATATTTCAGGGGATCAGATATCAAGGATGGGGATTCTGGCTAAACCAACTCAGGAAAACTCTTGCTAAAATTAAGTGATGCAAAGACATACACAAAAGCTCAAAAGTCAGGGAGAATTCAGGAAAAGGATTCAGAAGAGCCTGACTCAAATTTGGTCAAGGAAAGATTCAGTCAGTATGCATGCTGATGTAGTCAGGGGAAATGTACTGATATCTGCTGCTTAATTTGAACACATCAAAAAATAGTAAATAAACTATAGGGGGCTAGGGATATAGCTCAGTCAGTAGAGTGCTTACCTCGCATGACAAAGCCCTGGGTTCAATCCTCAATACCACAACAACAACAAAAAAAAAAAAAGAAAAGAAACTGTAGTAAAATGTTACTGGTAGAATCTCATGATGGTGGCTATATAGATACTCTAAGTTCCTTTAACACTTCCAAGTATATCTGAAAAAAATTTGTAACAGAATGTTAAGGACATCAAAGCTGGTCAGAGCGGAAGTGTGGAGGCAGTCAAGAGGAAGGGACCCACATTTGGGTAATGGGGACTGCCTGTTGCAGGAAGGCAGATGGATAGTTAGCAGCATGTGCCATTTTCCAGGGGGCTTGCTAATGCCATATAAGCACAGAGGATTGATTGCCCTCCAACCCTCTAGGACATGATGTGGTCTGTGGCTTGACTTTGCATGACAGCCTTCCTCTTCTTGTAGCTAACAACTCCTTCTGTTTTGGGAAGATGGTCAACCTTGTGGCTACTTTTCAGCCAACATAGCTGCCATCAGCCAAGCTAATATTTTCTGTTTTTGTCCTTGTCTTCCTCCCTGGTGACTTTTAGAGTTGGTGTTGACCCAGATCAAGATCCACCACCCAACAATGACAGCTTTCAAGTCTTACAAGGGGTAAGTAACATGAAATGCTTCTTTACAGGGAAGACATAATTTAAAGTAGCTAAAATTCAGTGAGTATTTGCTACATACTAGACATTGTACCTGGACTCCCTCATTGTCATCTTGACATTGACCTTTTGACATGGCTACTGTTTTCCCCCATTGGAGGCTGAAGAGTGAGCACTTAAAAAGTGGTTTTAAGTTAGAATTAAAAAGTGGTTTGTTTTGTAGGTGAAACAGGCTGGGAGTTAGCTAGATAATGAAGATTTTTCAGAGATTTCATCTTGACAGTTGCAGACCAGTCAAAACATCCTCAGCTGTTCTACTGTTTCCTGTTGTTCCTATCTTTGTACTCAAGCACCTGTAAAAGGAAATTAATGAAATGATTTGGTTGGTTTTATGTAGCAAAACTTGCTGTACATCTCTCATAAGACCTCCATGCTAGAAACACTGGGCTTGAAATGAGACTTAGTAAAAAATTTACTGTTGCTTTTCCATGGAAATATTTGAGAAACAGCAGATCCTAAGTGCTAAGGGTTCTGGCATTTGGTCCATGCACTGACAGCTAAAATAGCGACCCTCACAGGCAGGGTGAGCCTCCCTGGATGGGCCTGAACAGGTTAACTCAATGTTCCTCTCAACTCCTAGAAGACCCTTTGGCTGTGAGCACTGCACATTTGGCCCTGTGAATGGACTGGCAGTGACTTCTGCTACACTTCTGATGGCACCCCATTTGTCACACTGGAGCTGTGTCACAGCTTCCCCCAACCTCCTCCTTCCAAATATCTCACACAGTCAGGAAGAAGGGCCTGCAAAGTCAGTCCTGCTGACCTTTTGAACACTGTCAAGATTGCTGTCAGACTGGGAAAAACAGGCGAACTTTAGGCTTGGTTCCCCAGGAAACCCTCTGCTAAATGACTCATGCCCTTGTGCAGAAAGGGCCTTATTTCTTCAAATCCTTTTGGCCTGACCCTCTCTTTCCAGTGAGGCACTAACAGGACTGGGAGTGCTCAGTGATCATTAGAAACAGGGAAACAGAAATAAATGGGCTTGTCATGTTTGGGTGAAACCCTGGGTGCTTGCAGTTTCCCCTGAAATAGATCCAGGTCCTGTGCTCAGTGTTGTCATGAAACTGAGATCAGAGGTAGGGAAAGTCCAGATGTTTGTCCCTCACTAGAAAAGAAAAGGCAGTTTTCTCTAAATGAGCATCCTAAAAACAACAAAGAAATGGAGAGTGATATTTGATAGGAAAGCATTTCTTAGAATAAGGACAATTTTCCTCATTGGTTCTAGAAGCTCAAGGTTATAAACAGAGTCATGGCTACAGAGCTACAGACCATTAGTTCATGTGGGAGAAGGAAAGGAGCCATTGGCTGGAACTTCTGGCTCTATGTGAGGGAAGCATAAGAATATTTTAGGCAGACTTCAGCATTGTGTCCCTGGCAAGTTTGACTCATTAGAACAAAACAAGACCAAAATGCAGTTGCTTTGTTTGTCCAGAGGTCTTGGTGACTTTGCAACCAAAACAAAAACAAGCCCAGCTGGAAGCAAGCTGCCTGGGCCAGGATGGCCTCTCACCCCTTAAAGGGGGGGGACTTTTCATGCCAGATCAGACACAGCTGAAATTTCTGTTGGCCGGACATACAAACACATCATTCACTTCCTTCCCTATGTTTTCAGAAGAGCACTCATTGATGGAGGCCCCTTTGGAGCGGCAAAGGGAATGGGTTTATCATGTCAGCAGGACCAGCACACAAGCCGGATATTATGGAATGTGGAGGAAAGGAAACCCTAGTTTCTGAGTGTGTATGCATGTGTATGTGAGTATGTTGTGAGAACTGTAGAACTTAGCTATTTATATTTGCATCGACATAGGACTTGGTAAGCAAGTTTGTTTCTGGCTCCTCCTCTAGTTTTCCTACAGGCTGAAATCTGATACCCAGTCACCTAAATCTTTAACTTCAAACAGTTGCTGAAGTGACTTCCCTCAAATTACTGCTCTCTGACCACTCCCCTAGTTTTTTTTTTAATTTTTAGCTGTAGATGGACACAATATCTTTATTTCATTTTTTTATGTGGTGCTGGAAATCGAACCCAGTGCTTCACACATGCTAGGTAAGCTCTCTACCACTGAGCCACAACTCCAGCCACTAGTTTTTTTTTTCTATTTGTCTAACAATTGCTTCCTTTGGCCCCTCGATTTTCCTTTCTGCTATTTTTTGTTGTTGTTCTCTAGAAACTCAGAATTAATACAAATTTATTCATTCACTTGACAAATATTTATTGAGCACTTGTTATATATCAGACCTTCTTTCAGACTCTGGCAATACATCTGCAAAAAGACAGATGAATCTCTGTCCTGAAGGGTTTGGTGACAATGTTATGGAAGAGGAAGATGAAGAGAGGCAGAAGGTGGAAAGCCTTATCTGCTTTTCCCTCCAGGGAGCACGGACCTGTCACTACTACTTCTAATGTCCCTGTGGCCCAGTGGCATGGTCCAACAACTTGGAAGTTAGGGAGAGAATTTGCTAGAAATGTTGTTTCTCAGGCCTCATCTAGCCCTACTGAAGCAGCATCTGTGCTTTCACAGTATCCCCGGGGGATTTGTATATAATTTGCAATTTCAGAAACCTGGTGCGACTCTGGGAATAGTTTTAAGTAGGGCTGAGATATTTTGGTTCATTGGTCTCATAAAAAAAAAAAAGCCCAAATCAAGTTGCATCGTTTATTTGCTTTTCTGCTCTCTGTTAGTTTTGTGAGACTACTATGACAAGTCACCACAGAGTTTGTAGCTTAAAGCAACACAATTGTATTGTCTAATAGTTCAGTAGATCAGAAGTCTGTTGGGCTCAGATGGTTTCTCTCCTTCAAAGCTAAAAATCAAAGCTTGGGCAGATGTGGGCACTAGAGGAGAAGCCACTTGCAGACTCATTCAGATTGTTGATAGAAGTCAGTTCCCTGGAGTTGTAGCACTAAGATTCAGTATCCTTTCTCTCAGTTTCCTAGGGACCATGCTTAGCTCCTGGATAGCATTTCTTGGGGTATGGCCCCTTCTTTCTTAAAATCTAGAAACAGTGCTTTTTTTTAAGGGCCTATGATATTGTACTGAGTCTACCTGAATAACCCTATATCCATATACAAAGCCCCTTTTGCCATGTATGTAACATTACAGGCTCCAGAGATTAGGATATAGAATTTGTTGGGTGGCCATTGTTCTTGCCTACCACATACTCCATTCCTGGAAAAGTAAACTATTATTGTTATTGTAACTTTAAAAATTTTAACATATAAGAATTGAATAAAATATGACTCTATGAAGACATCAGTATTCACTAGCTCTAGAGAAATTAATTTAAAAATAATACTCTTTGCCATTCCTCAGGTTTTTTTTTTTGGTTCTTTTAATCAGCTTTCTTTTTCTTCATGACGTTTGTCACTCTGTGTGTGTGTGTGTGTGTGTGTGTAAGAGAGGAGAAAAAGAGAGTATATATGTATTTGTTCCATCTCTCTCTGGAAAGGAGCAAGTGCTAAGTCTTTTTTCTTTTTCTGTTTCCAGCACTCAGCTGATGTCTGGCATATAGTCGGCACTTAATGAATGAATAAAAATATACCCTCAGTGTTATATACTCATGCTAATAAGCAGGGTCAGCATTATTTTTGAGGAGGATTAATAATATCAGTAAAATATTAAGAGTCCCTTGTGTAAAAAGCCACACAAGATAGCCTAATGACATTATGAGTAGGGTTTTCCCCCCAACAAATGTATGTTAGAAATGACATATACAGTCTTTAGAAATGAACTAAATTAATAATATAAACTCTAACTGTGCTAAATAGTTTACAAATATTTAACCAGCATTGAAAAAAGTCACATGACTAATAATGAGTTAATATTTGTTGAGTACATACCACATGTCAGACACTGTCCTAAGTTCTTTAAATGTAAAAATAATTTGGACCTCTAAAAGAAAAAAAAATTGTTTTTTCTCTGTACTCACAGCACTTATAACACCAGTATGTGCAGTTTTTCCTCACAAAAACCAATTCTTCAGTTCTCAGTGGACAACAAGTTGGGGTCCTCTAGTTTAACTTGATCCTTACCACTAATGGCTTGAAGGTAGGATCAGATCCCATAGGTCAAGGGCTCAGTCCTACAAGATTGCCTCCACTTCAGATATCAATCATAAATTCCAGGTTTTTACCTGAATTTCTTTCTGGCAATAAAACAGGAGTTCCTGTGACCTCTTCCTCAGTTTCAGTAATTTGCTGGAATGACTCATGGAACTCAGAAAAGCACTTTATTTGCCATTACTGTTTATTATGGATGATACAGCTCAGGAATGATCAAATGGAAGAGATGCATAAGACATCTCTGGGGATGGGGGTACATGGAGAGTCCATGCTCTTTTCTGGCATCCCATCCTCTTAGCACCTCCATGTGTTCACCAACTCAGAACATCTCCAGATCTTTTCATTGAGGGGTTTTATGGAGGTTCCACTACACAGGTGTGGTTAGTTAAATCATGAACTATTCATGAATGACTAAATCTTCAATCCCTCTTTCCTCCTTGGAGGTGGGAGTGGAGCTGAAAGTTCCAGCTCTCTTAGCACAAGGTTGGTTCCTCTGGCAACCAGCCCCAGCTGCCAAGAGTCATCTCATTAGCATAAACCTGGGTGTGGTTGAAAGGGAGAATTAAAAAGGATGCTCTTCTCACCCTAGTAATTCAGGAAATTCCAAGGGTTTTAGAAATTTTGTGCCAGGGGCTGAGGTGAAGACCAAATGCATATTTCTTGTTATATCACAATATCACATTCCCATAATGACCCTGCAAGGTAGACAATTTTTATTGTGAGTGTGTGCATGTGTGTGCTTCTGAGAATCAAACCTAAGCCCTCACACATGCTAGGTAAATGCTGTACCGCTGAGCTACACCTACACCCCCCCACACATCGTGGTAGGTAATTATTAAGATCTTCATTTTACAAACGAGGCCACTGAATGTTAGGTAACTTGCTTAGAGTTATATAGCAAGGCAAAAGGCACAATCAAGACGTAGTCTGTTGAGAGGGCCTGTGATATTCACTCCAGTGTCTCTTAGAACAGTTTGTTGCTTTGGAAACATTTTCTAGAGAAGCCAAGCTTCTGTGGTCAGTCTTGAAGGATGAATAAGGGATTGGCCAGCAAGTCAGTATGGGTGTGAGAAAGTGAGAGGAAGAAAGGCCCTAGAAGTGGCTAGAGCCAAAGACATGGGGCGTGAACAGTTCTGGTGGGAAAGCAGGTTGTGAGGAGGGGCCTGTGAAAGAACAAATCCCTGCTTTTGCTGTGGACAGCACAAGAATGGAAATCCCAGGCTCCAAGTGCAGGCGGGAAGGAAGCCCCGCCTTCTCCCCCAGTGACCCGTGCTCAGCCCAGTGCTATTGGGAGCCCACAGGAAAAGCTCTCGTGATTTCTGTGTGATAAAGCAGTTGTGGGTCATCTTACAGATCAGCTTAAGAAATTAGTTCTGTTTCACAGAACTGCCGGATTTCCTCAAAGCCACCGTATGTGGATTTATCTAAGTTCTTCCTGTACCTAATCATATTTCTGGCAACATCGCTTGGAATTAGAAGCTGTTTAACATCCTCTTTACAAAGTAACACTTTTAGGTTTGTCCTGAATTTACCCTTCTCAGAGTCATCTCTCTTTTTTTTTTCTAAATTCAGGTTTTGCTACAGAATCTGAGGTCACTTTCTCTTATTTGTAGATTGTAGGGATATATATCTCTTTGTGACCTGAGAAGATCTTTTGTAAGTTTATTCTCAAATAGAAGCCTTTGTCTGGCTTTATTAGTTTTAATTGTCCCTTTTGGGGGCTTACAGAAATCTCTGTAGCTTCCTTGAGGTGAGAGGGCAAGAGCTTAAGTGTTCCAGGGGTTAATAACTTCATTGTGATTTTGCAGAGGCTAAAATGATAGAGTAGGGGTGATGGTTTTTATTGTTGATTTAAGAGGAGTTGAATAAACCAGCCTCAGGGGTTTCTCCAATGCTTTATAGTGTCCTTCCTGATCATGTTTATCATTTTGCTAGGTTTTTTTTATTTCTTTTATAAAATTCTAGAGTCTGTCACTTTATAAAGAACCATTTAATTTTTCCATAAAGATAAATATATATGCCCTACAGAAAGGTTATCTATCACTTTTCTACTGACTCATGTGGCATTTTGAAATCTTCCTAGAGTTGTCATTAGTTAGCAATCAGTTACCTAAAGGAAGGATTGTTGTCAGCAAATGGAAACATTTCTGTGCCCTTTTTCTTCCACATGATTTTAAAACTGTAAAATAATTGGCCTCTGTGATCTCTCCTTATTTATGTTTCCTCATGCATAGAAGGGCACATTTCCCTATCCATCTCTGAACATTCCTCAATTATCAGGGGGACTCTATTTTTAAAAATAATTTTGTTGGAACTTTTGGAATTTAAATAGTGCTTGCTAATTTCTCTCCTCCTACTCACCTATATGCTTATCTTTTGAATGATCTCCAGTTAATATTTGGTGTCCCTGTTGCAGGTATAATTTACATGCACTGTGACTTGGGATTACTTGTGGTTTTTAGTTCAAATTTTCTTTGGTTATTGTTAATTGCCCTTCACTTGCAGAGTTTCCTCTCACAATAATATTAAAGAGTGTTATGATTAAAATGCCTGTGCTTCACCAGCACTGTGTATTTTCAGAGCTTGTCATCCAGCAGCATACAATCGCATTAGTACCCTGAAACTACTGAAGGCAACCCAATTTGTTCCCACAGAAAAGCCCATTTTAATGCCCTAAATTCAGGTTATTATTTAAAATACAAAGATGAGGACTCTTTTGTTTTTCATTCTATTATAAAACAATAACAGTGACCAAATGGCACTTTTGGGGTCTTATTGCCATGCATCACTTCTGTTTCTATCCCTATTTTTACTTTGAATCTGTATTGGTACATTATAATTACACATAATATTGGGATGCATTATGCCATACTCACATGTACACATGATATAATTTTATCAGTCTCATCCCCCAGTACCTTCCCTTGCTGTCCCTTTCTCCTTTCTGCTGATCTGCTTGCTGTACTGTACTATCAACCTGATTTTTTTTTTTTTGGCGGGGGCAGGGAGAATCAGGGATTGAACTCAGGGGCACTCGACCACTGAGCCATATCCCCAGCACTATTTTGTATTTTATTTAGAGACAGGGTCTCACTCAGTTGCTTAGGGCCTTGCCATTGCTGAGGCTGCCTCAGTCTCCGAAGCTGCTGGGATTACAGGTATGTGTCACCACGCCCAGCTCAACCTGATTTTTATATTATCTGTGGTTCTTATAATACTTGCACAGAACAGACTTTCCAAACCTCAAATTAATGTCTGATTTTTCAGGTTACTTTCAAAGTTAAATGATGAGGATGGTTGAGTTGGAATAACAAGGAATTTGCTACTTCAGGGTAAATAAAGTATCAGATTTTCTAGTTCTGGTGCTTTTCCCCTGCCTGCTAGCCCCATTTCCCTAAAGCTGGAAGGGAAACAAGTTACCAGATAACCTGAAGTACCTGGGAGGGACCTTCAGAGAACCCTTTGATTAGCTGGTCAGGAAACTCAACAAAAAGTGTGGCATTTCTAGGTCAACCTTGAAGGAACCTGGAAAGTTGTTTTTATAGAAGCTTTCTTTAATATTTGCTGTATATTGATTTTTGACTTGCAAAGATCTAGACTATTTTAGAACTATGTAATTATTTAATATTTAATTACTAATTAAAAGGCACTTTGAGGAGAAAAGTACAATAAAAATACCAGAAGAAATTTTTTTACCAATATTCAGTTGATCTACCCACAGAACTAACCAAACCTTTCTGTCTTTGGGTTTACTCAGTTTCTGCTAAAGTATTACCTTTCAATATATATTTGAAGCTTTGGTAGCATGAATATTTGATAATGTATTCTAGATTTATAAACTTATAGTTCATAGGCTGGGGGTATATAGCTTGGTGGTAGAGTCTAGCATGCCCCAAGCCCTGTTTCCTTCTCAGCACTGCAAAAAATGTTACAGTTTAAAAAGAAGTTCCCCCACTATCTTTCAGATCCTTTTTCTGCAACTAAATATGTGTCCTCTTGTTTGTTCCTAGGATGGTCCAGATTCTGCTGGAGGAAACCGTACAAAGCAGGAGAGTGCATGGATATTCAGGCTGTGGTACAGCTTTGACCACAAGTATCCTTTTAAGTGGCATCCCATGTTCATAATACATTGACAGTGAAATTCACTTGTTGACTTGTCAGTGAATGAGTTCTGATGAGTAAAGAAAGATGAATGCTTGGAACAGGTATACTCAATCCTGTCTTGGGACACATACATTGATCATTCAACTGTAGGTAGTCCTGGCAAGCATCCTCTGGCCAAGAGGTGTGGTTGCTTTTTGTTAGAGTAGCCAGCCCGCAGCCTGGTTGACTTATGGCTTTCGAGAGCTTTGTGCCCAGGGGAATTTCACCTTTATAAGTTAATTCGTTAAAATTACACAGTGAGCCATGCTTTAGTCAGAAAGGAAAATGGAGCTTTAGCAATTAATCCATGGGGGTGGGTGTGATTGCTGTTGGTTGAACTTGGCCAAGTCTGATCTCAGTGGTATAACTGGGCCACATGCATGGCAGACCCTATCCTTGGTCCCAGGTGAAAATTAAAAACCAAAATGTTAAACTTACATGATTTTTTTTTTTACATTCACATAGTGATCAAATGGGCAGATGGCTTTTTATAGATAGTTTTGGGAGACATTGAAAATGCTCGAAAAATTTTTGTTGAAATATAACAGATGCACAAGTATATAAGTCATAAGTGCTTTGCAAATTATCATTTTAATTTGATACCAAACCAGTCAAGAAACAAAATTACCAGCTTCTCTCATGCCATAACTCCATTACTCCCTTTCTTCCACCCCGTACATAGCCACTCTTCTGACTTCTAGCAACACTTAATAGTTTTACCTGTTTTACAACATAATGTAAATGAGAATTTTGTGTGTGTGTGTGTGTGTGTGTGTGTGTGTAGTGTCTGACTTGTTTGTACGATTCATCTGTGTGATGTTTGTAGCCCTAGTTCATTTGCTCTCATTGCTACATAGTATTTCATTGTGTGCCTATGTCACAATTGTATTGTTGATGAACACTCAAGATTCCCCCTTTGGAACTGCTGTGAAAATACTGCTATGAACATTCTTATATACATCTTTGATGTATTATGCAAATGTTTTGTTGGGAATATACACAGGAGTAAAATTGTTGGGGCATAGGATGTGTGTAGGTTTAATTTCAAAAGCTAGTACCAAGTTTTCCAAAATGGTGATACTACCTTACACATTCAATCACTAGTCTATGAGAGCTCTAGTTACTCCATATTTTCATCAACAATTGATATCATCAGTCTTTTTAATTTTCGATATTCTAGTGGTTTTGTAATGATATCTCATTGTGGCTTTAATTTACATTTCTCTGATAACTAATAGGGTTGAGCACTTTTTCATACATTTACTGGCTATTCAATATATTCCTTTATAAAGTACCCATTCAAGCATCTTGCCCTGTTTTATCTTCGGTTGTCTGCTTTTTTCTTAATATTGTGTGAGAGTTCTTTATGTTCTGGATATGAGTCTTTTGCTAATTATGTATGATAAAAATACCTTCACCCACTTTGTTTTTTTACTATTATGTATAATTATGCATAATAATGGGATTAATTGTGACATATTCACATAACATATTTGCTTCAATTCATTCTCCAGTACTTCCCCTTTTCCTCTCCTCCTTCTCCACTCTGTAACTTGCCTGTTCCCCTTAAAAACTATCTTTTGATGAACAAAAGGCCTAATCCAATTGATTGATCTTTTCTGTTCTGATTAGTATCTTTGAAGCCAGTTTCCTGTGTTATCTTCTAGAAGCTTTATTCTTTATCTTCTGTGCATCTGGTTTTTTTTTCTGAGTGATAGACATGGACAATGAAAAACTCTAGATAATCTGAGATGCTCTGGATGAGGTCATCATCCTTCAGAGATGATTTAAGCTTATGTCTGCCGAGTGGTCAGGTTGTGGGCAAGCAATTTCAGATCATCTTAATGAATTTAGGAATAAAGGTGATTTGAAGCTGGGCTTGAGTTCTCTGAGGGTTAGATATTTTCTCTTTGCCTTTTGTGTAGGGTCCCAACCTAAAGCCTTGGGTGTTCACATTTTCTTCTTTGGTGGCCTTAGGCTCGTTATTGTAAGAGTAGATTATTAGAAAATTGAGTAAATCAAATAAGAAGTTCTTGGAAATTTAAAGATTTCTGAAATTAACAATAGAAATTTAATTATTACAACTTGAGTGTGGTGACGACTGAATTGTTGATTTGGACGATAAAGTTGAGGGAAAAAAAACTTAAAGAATTAGAACAGAAAGTCAGAAAAATGTAAGAGAAGAGTGTCAAGATGTGGAGTTTAGACACAGATGGTCCAGATCACTTAGGATCTGAAAGGGAAAGATGGTGACTATGGAGGAAAAGATATACCAAAGGAATAATAGAAGAAAAATTCCCATTACTAAGGAATATACTTGTCTCTAAGTATAAGAGCTCACCAAGAGTGTGAGTAGGATGGACATATTCTGGGGGGATTTCATAACAACAAAAGGAAAAGATAGAACTTTTAAGGCTTTCAAAGAGAAAAGACAGGCAAAGAACCAGAGACTTCTCATTGTATATTAGAAAACCATCGAACGATGTCTTCAAAGTTCTATGATGAAAAGTCTAGACCTACAATTCTACCCCTAAACTCTCAATCACAACTGAGAGAATAAGGAGTGTAGTTTCCAGATGTGCAAGAATTCAGAAAGTTTAGTACCATCTAGACCCTATAACATATAAGAAAAATAACTTATGGATCAGACAAAAAATAGCCTAAAAATGGGACAATGCTGGAGAAACTGTTATAATTTAGAAAAAAAATGAAAAATTCTTTATTTAGCAACACACTTTAGAGTTCTCTTTTGACAAAGTTTAGATGACAAATTATTATTTTTCATTTTATATTACTATAACCACTGGTTATACAGTGAATAATATTCATACAGTGACATTATTGCATTTTTGTATGTGCTAGAGATGGAACCTAGCACCTTATGCATGTTAGGTAAGTGCTCTACAATTGAGCTACATCCTTGGCCCTCTGATATTATTACAAATGTTGCTTTATTGGTTTCTAACACTTCATTTATTCTATAGAAAAAAATAGAGAATTTATGTATTAGTTATAAAAGAGAAAGCATATCTTTAGTGTAAAATTAATTATAATAGAAATTGGAAAGAAGAGACAAGGAGTATTAATGACTTAAGTTTATCATTCTTCATAGGAAGGACTTAAAGCTTCAGACTATAGCTTGTAAATCAAGAAATAGGAAAAATGTGTTAATATAAAGATTTAATGTCAGTTACCAGATCAACTAGTGCAGGAAAGAGAAGTTTAATGTTATTATTTTTTTTTTTGCCCTTCCAACAGTTGAGTATTTTAAAGTATGTATATTTATTTACTAATCTTTTTAAGGAAGTTGTTTTAGGCCTTCTGGATTGGGGAAGTGGGGCTTACTGGCTGCCCCTTGACTCTTTTTAAAAAATTACTTTTATATATACTTTTAGTTGTTAGTGGACCTTTATTTTATTCATTTATTTATTTATACGTAGTGCTGAGAATCAAACCCAGTGCCTCACACATGCTAGGCAAGCGCTCTACCACTGAGCCACAACCCTAGCCTTGACTCTTGACTTTTCATCATTGTACAGATCAGAGCCCCTGTCATCTTCTGAGTAGGACAGGAGAAAACTGATAGACCTGTAGGGGCTAATCCCAAACTGAGTGATTTCCTCCTGTCCTGCACTTGTCCCCAGGACTGTGATTAAAGAACAGCAGCCAAAAGACAGCTCGTTTTGTCTGTAAAGAGCTCCAGCAGAGCCCTCATGTCCATCCTTCTTCATTAAGTAATTCCCAACTAGAAGCATACCTCTGTGTCCCTCTTCCATTTCCTCCTTGGAGAAAGCTTCTTCCATGTGTGCTGCTCTAAATGAAGGCAAGAATTGGGGGTGCACTGAACAGCCTGTTCTCTTAGGCACAGACCACTGGGACATCTTCTTGTCTTCCATTAAAGTCTCTTGTCCATCCCTGTGGTGGCCATATGAGAGTCCAACTTTTCCACATTGCTTAGGATACAGATCTTAGAATGGGCCTCTTTCATAATGGGGCAAGTGTTTCTTGGTGCTTCCAATATAGGGCTATGTATTTGGCCTCACAGATAGTCATTAACTGATGCACCCTGAGCTCTCTGCACATCAGTTGACCTTTATGTTACAGCAGTGGTCTTGACCAAGCCTGTGTTTGCCTCCTGTGGGACATTTGGCAATTTTTGGAGACAAAGTTATTGTCATAACTTGGGGAGGGGAATAAGGGTGCTGCTGGCATCTAGTGGGTAACAGAGAAGGTGCTCAACTTCCTGCCACAACAAAAAATGACCTAGTCCCAAATATCAATAGTGTCAAGGTAAAGAAGCCCTGTGTTAAGAGTCTGGGAAAAAAGTGGCTGGTTCTCTATAATGGGAAGTTGGGAGATTTATGGTCTAAATAACCTTACTGAAATAATTTCACCATGCCAAGTCTCAGTTTTCTCTTTTATAGTAGCCTCAGGTTGCCTTTGAGGTCCTGCCCAACTCAAACATCTCCACTGTATGCCCTGTAGTTAGAGTGGCTTAACAAGGATACTTACAGAGAACAAGGGCAGAGGAGACTCTGCAGTACCTGCTCCCCAGGGACACTATCTCCTTTTTCCAAGATCTGAGTGGTGTGTGTCAAAATCTGAAATGCTAATTGGAACTAAAACAAAGTCATAAGTGTGTTCTAATCAATCAAATATTCTTTTTAACTGACAATTGGAAATCACCAACCTGTGAGTTACTAGTTACCATTTAAGCCTAATGAGGTATACTGTTGCAGGTACAAGTATTTCCTAGGTTGTACTGATAAAAAGGAGAGAAAGAAAGCTTTTTGTGGGTAGAATGTAGGACAGTTTACTTTTGGGGATTTTTAAACAAATTTTGTTGTGCATGTGTTTCCCTTGCAGCCATTTATCCTTAATTCTCTTTTTAAAGTTACTTGAAGCCCATCCTCACACACAGCGGCCCCCCTCTAACCACCACTCTTCCCGCCTGGTGTGGTTTGCTGGCCCGATGTCTGACTAGTCCCCAGGTGTATGACGTAAGTACAGCATGTCAGTATGGTGTTCCTCCTGCTCACTCTGCCAGGGAAGCCTCTTACCTAGGAAGAAGAAACCAATCACACTCATACCTCTATAGCTTCATATTTTCCTTGTATAATAAGATGATTAGAAATGGCAAATTTACATATGTTTATATTCTTTGCACAGTAATAAGAGAAATCTTTTACCGGGATTACAACTGCCAAGTTACCAAGTATTGTAACCCACTGCTACTATGCAATCAGTGAGCACAGTAGTTCTGTGTAGCTGTCATCCCAAAGCCTCCAGGGCCTCTGCTTACCCCCTTCAGAGGAAAGCAACTGTTGAAAAGGCCAAATGACAGAACTCTACACCTTCAAAGCCAGCTGAGCTGCCTCCTTGGGGAAGCAGGTTCTGCCTGGTGAGAATGCAGTTCTACCCTGACCTTTTCTTTGAATTTTCACCAAATGTGAGAACAGCATTCATGAATGTCTCCTTCTCTTAAAGACAGTTGAGCCCTCCAGCATCCTCAGGACCTCCCCATATAAAAATGAAAATCCGCCAGGCACAATGGCATATGCCTGTAATCCCAGCAGTTTGGGAAGCTGAGGTGGGGGTATCATAAATCCAAGACCAGCCTCAGCAACTTGGTGAGGCCCTAAGCAACTTAGTGAGACCCTGTCTCAAAATTTTTAAAAAGGATGGGGATGTAATCAGTGGTAAAACACCCCTGGGTTAAATTTCCAATTCTAAAATAAATAAATAAAATTAATGATAATAATAATAATAATAATAATAATAATAAATCTTGTGCCACATGTGATAAACTGTTTTCAGATTAGAAAATAATGGATAGTGAGGATAGGGATACTGTAGCTCAGTGGTAGAGCATGTGCCTAGCATGTATGAGGCCCTGAATTTGTTCCCAGTACTGACAAACAAGCACAAAAAAACACCTTCAGTAAAATGGTGAGATTATCATTTTCCCAGAATTATTCTTGCTTTATAAAGTGGTTTTTAACAATAATGGTAACTTTTAATATAATATCGATCAGCCTAAACAATAATGCTAGTGTTATTTTGTATCAGAAGGACTCAAACCAACGGATTAAAAAGTTAGTTTTAAAATTTCTTATCCAGCACTACTGTGTATAAGAAAGGTCATGTTAATTCTGAAGGCTAAATGGTTTGCATATCTGTTTAAAGTGGAATTGTGACCACTTGAAGGCATGTCATCACTGAGACAAAGTGTGCTGACGTGCCACCATTGCATCTTCCACTAATGAAGCTCCAACTAATTATACCTTAAAAATATTTTCTAATCAAAAGTTTACTAACTATTCCCTTGTTCATAGATAAGGGATATCAGTACTAGTTTGGACTCAGCATAAACTCAGCCAAATGGGGCACATGATGTCATTTACAGTTATATACCTTTAAAGTGCTTCTCTCACCAGTTCAAGAGACTACTCAAGGTTTGCTTTCCAGAATAATGTTTGGGCTCTGGACTTGTCACAGCCAACTTAAGATGGGTTGACTTGGGCTACCAGGAACAACCACCCTCAATGCTGCTGCTGGCCTTTTGTGCTGGGGTCCTGCCCAGGGTCTCAGCCAGCTCCAGATACAGTGAGGACTGCTGCTGAGTGAATGGGAGCAAAGGATCTTTTCAGAGTTAGCAGTTGAGGAAACCAAAGTTGAGAGAGACGGAGGGGCTCCCTGTGGAGTGGAGTGCTGGGTGAGAGTCTCTCACTCAGAGTTCTTGTGGCTGTTTTGATACTTGTTATGTGGTTCTCACCCATCACCTAGGGTGTTTTATACTTGGTCAAGTTTATTTGGAGGTATGTAGGATGTTCATTATTTCTACAAACTCCAGACTAATTAGGTTTGTTATCCACCAAGAAAACAGTGTTCTTCCACTTTTGAAGAGACCTATGTTTGGGGCTCGGTGGTAGAGTGCTCGCCTGGCATGCTTGAGGCACTGAATTTGATCCTTACTTGTTGTGTCCACTTAAAACTAAAAAATAAATATTTTAAAAAGAGACCTATGGTTATTTTCAGTGTACAAATTCCCACAACACACTTGTTTTTAGGGTTATTTCCCTGCATTTTTATAGCAGCCTTTACTAGACAACTAGTTATATAATGATATACACCTTCAGCTTCCTAAAGTTCCATGGATCCTATCACCTAGAATTCCAGGGAGTGGGTTGGTTTCATCAGCTTTATGTGACACTCATTAAGCTTTTTTTTTTAAATGTTTTTAGTTGTAGATGCACACAATACTTTTATTTTGTTTATTTATTTAATTTTATGTGATGCTGAGGATTGAACCCAGTGCCTCACAGGTGCTAGGCAAGTGCTCTACCACTGAGCCACATCCCCAGCCCTCCTTCAGCTTTGATATAGGAGTCACTCTCCAACTGGGTCTCAAGATGTCTTTGTTTCTGAATGACTTTTCCTTAGGTACTATCTGGGCTGGTGGGTGTCATAAATGGAATGGGTCAGTATCCAGTCTTATTTTCTCCCACCAGTGAATTTTGTCCCTGTGTTCCTCTATAAGAATAATCAGGCCACACTGAAGTTCATGTCCAGGGTGCTATGTGGGCTTTCCTTCATTTGTAGAATTATCCTCACATGTAGTTGATCTGTATTCCTCTCTATCCCTTTTTGGCTTTAAACCTTGAAACAGTAAAGTATGTATCAGAACTATTTCCCTGAAAATTGATAGCTAAATATTTTGAAAAGATGGACAAAACCATTACATAGCACATGTCTGAATGGTAGAACTGGGACATGCTAAGACAAGGAAAGAGGACTCCCTGGGAGCTGGAAACCCAAATGGGGCACATGATGTCATTTGTTGTTAAAACTATCAGAAGATAGATTGAGCTTCAGGGCTTTCTGAACACTAAGGCAGAGGAAGAAATTTGGGAGTTTGGAGCAAGTTTTAGAACTGTGCTCTAAATATCAGCCTGAGTACAGAATTTGTTTTTTGTCATGCATCTCTATCCTGCCTCCTTCCAGTGGGTATTTGAGGCAGCAAGTGAAGTGGAATTGTGTGTTTGCCTGTTAAAAATGCTAGAGCACTCACAGGGTTATGTGGAGTCACATTGTGCACTGTGTATGGAGAAGTAAGTTGACATCACTGACAAACAATGCAGAAAACAAGCATGTGCTTGTCACCAGTAAATACACAGGAGATGCACTGGGAGAGAAGTGAGAAAGACTCAACCCAGGAATCCTCTTAGCTCAATGTGTTTACCAAGCATTCATGTAGCACCTACTACAGGATGAGTGTCCCTTGACCAAAAGACTTAGGACCAAAAGTGTTTTAGATCTCAGAACTTAGATTTTTTTTAATATTTGCATATATGTAATGAAATATCTTGGGTGTGAGACCAAGTCTAAACACAAGATTCATTTATTGTGCTCGCTTCGGCAGCACATATACTAAAATTGGAACGATACAGAGAAGATTAGCATGGCCCCTGCGCAAGGATGACACGCAAATTTGTGAAGCGTTCCATATTTTTAAAGGCATAAAAATAGGAAAAGAAGAACTTAAATTATCACTATTTGCAGATGATATGATTCTATACCTAGCAGACCCAAAA